CATATATTTACATATTTTTTTATTTAAATATATGAGAATAATTTTTTATAATAATATATTTATATAATAGTGAGTTTTACATTATTAATATGTACATAATTTATAAGATATGTATATATGTCTATATATTTTTCCAATAAATTTTATGCAAATGAGTTTTTTTTTTATTGAATAGTAAAAAATTGAAAAATGTGAAGAATTTTTAGATCAAACAAGGACGATAAATAATTAATAAGTTAACGTATTAAATAAATTTTATGATATAAACTCCCCGATATTTAATGAGAAAATAGGTAAGCATAATTATTAATTTCCTAATTTTTTATAGCATTCGGATAAGCCATTACTACGTTATTTTATTTTCTTTTTAATTAATTAATTAATAGAAACATATACATTAAAATAAGGTAATTTTAAATTTATTATAATCTCAAAATAAGAATGGATTAAAAATATTATATCATTATTAGAAAGAAAATTCTATACCAACCCAAATACATGCATGTGTTGAATGGAATGATTGGATACGGATTTCATATCCATTTTTTTTTTAAATTTCAATCCATGCAAGAAAAAATAAGAAGATATCTCAATAAATTTAATTGAACACATTGAATCCATATTTATACGCCATATATATATATATATGGCCAAAATTTAAGTAGATAATTAAAACTCCATATAAATATAGTACCCATTTAGGGAAAATAATCCATGAAGCCAAAATGGGAGGTGTTCGTTAAAATTGCCTAATTATTATTTCTATGTTAAGTAATTAAATTGACGGATTATTTATTTAAACGTAACATTTAGTTTGATTTTTTTTGAAAATAAAATGTAAATATAATTAAAATTTAAATAAATTAATATTTTAATTTTAAATTAATTTGTGTGTATTAAATAATTAAATAAATAACATAGGTTAAAAAAAATCACAGCAAATAAAATTGTTTTTATAAGTTCCCTCTATAAAATTGAAAGACGTACTGGGACCAATGAGAATAGTGGCATAATGTGTAAGGAGATGTGCAATTTTGACCTTGTAAACCTGACCAAGGGGTTATCCCCACGTGATTTCCACGTGACCGTTTCATATATATCCTTTTTTTATAAATTTTTTTAAAAAGGTTTAAATAGGAAAAATAAACGAGATATACATGCCAGGCCCATGATGGGTAAATATACACCTGTAACGGAATCTGAGTGGGCAAAGGATAACTAACCATTACGTGGCAGAATCATAGCCGTTGATGGAGAATGGCTACATCACGGGAGAAGCTTCCTGCGACTTTCCTATCGGAAAATACCGGAAATAAAACTTCTCGCGAATAGGTAAAATCTCACAAGTCTTGAGTCAGCTGTTTACTGCCTTATTCCCAATTTATCGCCTATAAAAGGAGAGGGCCCCACGTCTGGTAGCCACGCGGCAACTCGACGCTGATTAATAGTTTATCAAGGGAACCTCAGACTCAGCTTCCCAATACCATATTTTTTGAAAAAATGTTAAATTGTAAATTCCTTGTCTTATTTTTAATTTTATTATTAAGAAGTTTATTCGTAACTGTTACATTAAAAAAAATAAAAACGGAAAAAAAAAATTATATATATATGTTTTATTTTTTATTTTTTTACCAAATGAGAAATTAAAAAAAGATATTTCTTATGGCCCAAAGAAACGGGGCCCACGGCCCAACAGTAACCCTCGGTTTTTTTTATATAAATCGACCTCCTCCTCCATGCAATTCTCGCTCAGGTCACATCCGTTCTGCGCCTTCTTTTCAAGAAGAAGAAGAAGAAGAAGAAGGAGGAGATAACCCCTAAACCTAGCCCTATATTTTCTCTCGTTTTCTCTCCCTGATTTTTATTTTTTTTTGGCTCTTTCAAGGAAAATCCCATTCCCATCCAAAAACAATATTTCCTAGTTTTGTGTTTTTTGTGAACCAGATCTGCATGGTGTGGGTTGTTTTTGGGGCCGAAGCGTTGCGTTCCTAGAAACGTAGATTTCGTTCTGGTTAAACTGGTTTTGACTAACTTCTCCTGAAGGGTCGGTGTGGGGATTTCGGGGTTGATTTGGGTAAAGAGAGGGTGTTGGTGTGGTTGTATTAGGGCCTTTTACTGCTTCTTTTGAGGGGGTAGCCGGGGCTCCGGCCTCGGCGGGTTCTAAAGCCCCCACCTTTACAAAATTGAGGGACTAAAGAGCTTACAGTTTTTTTTTTCATCATCTTCTCATCTTCTCTTTTCATTTTTTTTTCCCCATAACCAAATTTTATCCGTCGCAGAGAAGAGGATGCCGGCCCTGGTGTGCGGCGTAGATTCTGCCGTTCCTCCTGGCTACGTCTTTGCCGGGGATAGCTCCCTTCCTGCAGTCGTTTCCCCTCCGGCGCCCACCACCACCAACCTTCCGACCGCCGCCGCCGCCGCCACTGCGGCCGCCGGTGACCATACCAGTCAGTCCCGTTGGTCCCCCGCGCTATCTGCGGCGCTCTACAAGATCGATGGTTGGGGCGCGCCGTATTTCTCTGTCAATACCTCCGGCAATATCTCCGTTCGCCCACATGGTGCGGAAACTCTGCCGCACCAGGAGATTGACCTGCTCAAGATTGTGAAGAAAGTTTCGGATCCGAAATCGGTGGGCGGGCTAGGGTTGCAGCTCCCGCTTATCGTGCGACTGCCCGACGTGCTCAAGAACCGGCTCGAGTCCCTGCAGTCGGCTTTCGACTACGCGATTCAATCTCAAGGGTACGAGGCTCATTATCAAGGTGTTTATCCTGTGAAATGCAATCAGGACCGGTTCGTTGTGGAGGATATCGTGAGGTTTGGGACCCCATTCCGGTTTGGGTTGGAGGCCGGGTCAAAGCCCGAGCTCCTCCTTGCTATGAGCTGCTTGTGCAAAGGTAGCCCAGATGCTCTTCTTGTGTGTAATGGGTTCAAAGATGCAGAGTATATTTCGCTGGCTCTATTTGCGAGGAAGCTGTCGTTGAACACAGTGATTGTGCTTGAGCAAGAGGAAGAGATCGATTTGGTGATTGATTTGAGCACTAAGCTGTCGGTGAAACCAGTTATCGGTGTCCGAGCCAAACTGAGGACCAAGCACTCGGGTCATTTCGGTTCTACTTCCGGCGAGAAAGGGAAGTTCGGGTTGACCACGACCCAGATTCTTCGGGTCGTGGGGAAGCTAAAGCAAGCAGGGATGCTTGATTGCTTGCAACTTCTGCATTTTCATATCGGATCTCAGATCCCATCCACAACCCTGCTTGCGGATGGTGTTGGTGAGGCCTCCCAGATATACTGCGAGTTAACCCGTCTCGGTGCTCGCATGCAAGTCGTTGACATTGGTGGAGGTCTGGGTATCGATTATGATGGATCGAAATCGGCTGAGTCTGATGTCTCTGTTGCTTATAGTCTTGAGGAGTACGCCGCGGCTGTTGTTCGCACGGTTGCAGGTGTTTGTGACCGGAAATCTGTGAAGCATCCAGTGATTTGCAGCGAAAGTGGACGAGCAATTGTTTCCCATCACTCAGTTTTAATATTTGAGGCCATGTCAGTGAGCGTGCCTAGCGCGCCCGCAATGAATACTTTTCTCATGCAGTGTTTCTTTGACCGTTTTAAAGATGATGCTCGTGCAGCCTACCTGAATCTGGCCACTGCAGACGCGCGCGGTGATTATGATACTTGCTGGTTCTATGCTGATAAACTAAAGGAGAGATGCCTTGAAGACTTCAAGGAAGGTACTATATGCATTGAGCAATTGGCTGCAGTTGATGGGTTTTGTGAGTTGGTTTCTGAGTTGATAGGTGCTCCTGATCCAGTTCGTACCTATCACGTTAATCTATCGGTTTTCACTTCGATTCCTGATTTCTGGGGCATTGGCCAGCTTTTCCCGATTGTCCCTATTCATCGGCTAGATCAAAGGCCGGGAGTGAGAGGGGTTTTATCTGATTTAACTTGTGATAGTGATGGTAAGATTGAGAAGTTCATTGGTGGTGAGTCCAGTTTGCCTTTACATGAGCTGGAGGGCTGTGGCGGCAGTGGTGGTGATGGTGGGCGGTACCTTTTGGGGATGTTCTTGGGTGGGGCTTATGAGGAGGCCCTCGGTGGAGTCCACAACCTGTTTGGAGGCCCGAGCGTTGTCCAGGTTTTGCAAAGTGATGGCCCACATAGCTTTGCTGTGACCCGTGCCATGCCGGGGCCGACCTGTGCGGACGTCCTCCGGGTGATGCAGCACGAGCCCGAGCTCATGTTCGAGACCCTCAAGCACCGTGCTCTGGAGTATACTGGACAGAACAATCATGACAATGGTGATGGCATTAACGAAGATGGTCATGGCATCGCTAGTACCATTGCTCGTTCCTTCCACAACATGCCCTATCTGTTTTCATTGTCTTGTTCATTGACTGCAATCAATAACAGTGGTTTTTACTACTGCAATGAGGATGACTATAATGCTGCTGTGATTGAGTCTGGAGCTGGGGAGGATGAGCAGTGGTCTTATTGCTGTGCTTGAGTAAATCTCAGGTCTTTGCAGCATATGCCATTTTCCATTGCATTGTTAAGAATGGTTTGTCTGTCCTTTGAGGTTGTCTTTGTTACTTACAATTTTAGTTTAATTTTAGTATATCATTGTCGGCTTCATTTTTTGTTTGAATGTTGGTGAAGCGAAAGATGTAAGCCGGGCAGGGTCTTCTGCATAAGCAAGGCAGGGTCTTTTGCATTTGTTGCAATTGAGGGGATGTTGTGAACCGAATCCACCCTTTTGTAAATTCGGGATCTTATTCCCTCTGTTTCTATGTTCTTATTTAGAAGACTTCCCAGAGTTTTTTGTGTTTTTACCATTCTCTTTTTTCTCGTTCTTTGGAGCTATATATATATTTTTGCATGATCAGAAGTCTTTTGCTGGTGCACAGGCAAAGTTCATTTTTTTTGTGGGTTGTTCTGAATCGTGTGATTGCTTTATGAATTTTTAAACTATATTTGGTTTGTTGCTTTCTCTTTATTCAATTGTGATCCTGGTAGGGCCTTTTTGGGTTTGATTTTGGAGGTTGTCTTGGATTTGACCATGAAAGAAATGTAAATGGGACCAGTCTTTTCTGTGGAAAAGGTTAGATAAAAGAGATTTTGGAATCGTAGTTTTGTGGGGTCTCTTGTCTATTTGTCAATGGCTTCGCAGCTAAGCCTTCTCATTTGACGAGACTGTAGCATTTACTATGGGTTTTAACTATTATGTGGACAGTACATAATTAATCTTGCCATGGAGACTGGAATAATGGGTTTGCTTCTAATAGAGAGATCTCTCATAAAAGCATGGTTAGATGCGAACAATGGAATTCTTTCAATTAGGGGTCTTTTGTTGACCACAATTTTGGGGTGTGTTGGAGTGGGAGGGGGGGGTTGGTTTGGCATAGCTTGGCTTCTAAGATATCTTGCGGTCAAGATTGGATGCATCCCTGAAAGGGATATGAAACTTGTGAAGACTGGTTGTGAGACACAAATATTTGACAAAGCAATACTAAAAGATTATTACTTTAGTGTGGTCAACATAAGGGATCAGGATAACATGGGAGGCTGGATTCAATCTCTGGGTATCTTGCGATAAAAAGACACTTCGTGTAGGGATTTGAGCTGGAATCTGACCCCGTTGGGAACCATTTTTTCCTGGAATTTCTTTATGATTGTTTCGGAAATTTAAAGATGCTACTAAAGCACATGATACTGTTAGTATGTATTATTGTGGATGAGTTCATTGGTTTGAATTTGGTTTGACACCCAAAGTTTTGTATATGGAATATGTGGATAAATTTTCATGGAATAAATCCAAGATCCTCACCATTTTTGTTTAGAGATTCTATTGTATCAATTCTAAAGTTAAAGTTTTAAGCTTTCATAGTGACCCGCTCGTTTTTGCTTGAGCCTTGGATGTCCCTTCTGTTGGATTGACCTTTGTGTTGTTCCCCTTCTTGCTGAACATGCGTTGTGCTTTAACTATAAAAGTAGGAAAGTAATCTAATTTTCTGGAAGAATTTCTTTATCTATAAGCTGGTAAAATAATCTAATTTATCACAAGAATTTCTTTTAGGAGAGTAAAGTAATCTAATCTGTGCTTTCTTCTTTTTTGGTTGGTCCCTTTTGTTTTTCAAAATACTGCTACCATGGAACCTGAACCCCTATTTGGATTCTTTCGATGTTTGCCAGATCGACAGCGATCCTAGAAATCATACACTTGGAACTTAGACAAACAAGGGAAAAAACATAAACTAAATTTGAACATGGAAATCATGTGTTCTGCTCTATGGTAAGGTCTAGTGTTAGTGTTACAATACATCTTAACTTTTATATTCCTTTCCTCAGATGAGAGGAAGTTAGACTGTCGGTGGATCCATCATATTTTACAATTAACAGTTATAGCAAATGTTGATTAACCTACAATCTTGAAGATTTGTTGAAGATATATCTCTAAGGATATTATTAGCTGGATTCGGGTATTGTGATGATATATTTTACTTTATCTTACCTTCAATTTCTTCATATTTTACCCGTAATGTAAGGCATAATTTATGCTGAATGCTTGAAAAATTTTCTCCCTGAAAAGATATCTGAACATATTCACCAGCTTATTTCTATAGTCTTAAGGTGCTTCTGAATAGCTCCTAATTCATTCTTTCTGAAGTGAAATCCCTTGGTGGATGAACCTGTTAGATTAGTCATCTGCAGGTGTATTAAGAGATCATTATTTACTTTCTGCTTGATTTTTTTCTTGTGAGGTCGTCACTTTACTAACAATAACGCTAGCTGGAACATGAGTTCTTCGACCCAGAACTGTTTTAGTTTTCGAGCTCAAATAATTACCGCATGCAAGCTGTTGATTCTAGCTTAATCTGTGTTCTTCATATAAATTGTTCATCTATTAGTATTGGATTTTTCTTGAGGTGTTTTAGCATTAACTCCTTCAATAGGTGATTTTATCTCTTGTAACAACTACATCTAGAACATATTAGTGGTTCCTGCAACTTGTTTTCTAACATAGATGAGTGGCTATGCAGAGCACCACGTAAAAGGAGGATCATTCAACTATTTTTTCAGAGCCTGACTTGATATTTCTAGTGGAAATTGTCTTAAAATGATTCTTTTTTTTTTTGTCTGAAATTAGTCATGTGTAGCTTTGATGGTGGTCATGTGATCTTTATCAGTATGACCCATGTACAGCACTGTCTTCAAGATGCCGTTTTGGGATAGTTGAATGGTATTTGGTTCCAGCACTCATCCCCCCATCCATTATCTACTTGTAAAACGAGTTGAAGTGGGGTTAAATGGTGTTAACTGATTAATTAATGTAATTGTGGGTAATGAGATAAGAATGGTTTAGATTTTGAATTTGGCATTGTTTGCGAAGAGATTTTGAGAAGATCTCCATGATTTTACCTTGATTTTTGGTAGCTTGTCATGTCCCAAAATTTAATCTTTTTGTAATGATAGGAAGATAATATTTGCTAAAAGATCTTCTGGGTTGATGTTGTCATTTCCAGGATGATTCATCAATGCAAACTTGACAGCTGCTGGAGTGGCCCTCTTTAAAAATGGCAGTGGGCTGTGCAGAGAGGGGGGGGTAGTTAAGATTAACTGACAGTATCAATGATTAGCACGAGGATGGATCATGGGGAAATAGAGGGAGGTATTATCTATCTGCTCAGTTTTTCATCGATGATATTTTGCCTAAAATTGTAGGAAGAATCAACAATATTGCCTTCTCTTTTTTCAAACTGTGGGGCACCATGTCCTTTTCTCTTTTCTTTTTTTCTTTTCTTTCTTTTAGGAGCCCTCGGGACATCATGTTAATGCTCATCTAATCACTGTTGATTTTACCTAATTGTGATTCATTAGGCCTGTAAATCACTATTGCTGATATGTGAAGAACATCCATAATAATGTTGATTTCTCTTTGCCTCCCACCTTTTATCTTCTTCCTAATCCTATTGATTGGCTCAAAAAAGGGAACCAAGTTTTTTTTTTTTCTTTTAAAAATGTTTCTAGAGAAGAAAATGAGGTAAGAGCACCAGCGGCCAAGCAAACTCTTGGGTTCGGCTAGTTTTTTCTAACGAACCCTTAAAGGACTATTGTAAAGACTCGAACACAAGCCATTGAAGAATCCACATAGAGGAAGTACCGACTAACTTCAACCCAGTTGATTTTGTTGCAGCTAGTTTTTTGCCCACTGTGCAGTATTTGATCTGATCTATAACTATTGCCATTAATGTGAGCATGCTATTGGAAACTTACCATGTTGAAAAAATGGAACCTTTACCATTTGGGTACCATTTTAATGATTGGGGCATACAAAATTCAAATTGCGTACGAAGAAGGGTCTGTCCTTCGTGCTTGATTTTCGGCTTATCTTGCGAGAAAATTTAATTATCATGTAATTTGGATTGGATTGGATTGGATCGGATCAACCGAGCTGATTTTGTAGATGTCTGTGTTTTAGCTCCCTTGACAAATGTTTCTTCTTCTTGGCACAAGTTTGGTTGCAATTGATGTGGTGGTGTAAATGGTGTAAATGAAAAATGTGCTTCTTAAGTCCTTTTCATCTTCCTCCACCACTTGTTAAAAAGCCCATCTTTATTTTATGGCGCATGCTGTTTTCTGCGGTTCAGTTGCTTTTACTCCTCTCACAGACTACTACTACCTCCAACTACAATTTGCTCCTCTAATTTAATTTAACGAGCTTATGGTCTTACACTTGACTTTTGGATCAGACGATATTATCTTTCTACTTCCACAGATTTTCACAAATTAAAATGTTAAGAGGAAGACTAATATATATATATATATGTATGTATGTATGTATGTATATAATACTGTACTAATAACATACATAATATACCCTAAAAGTTGATCAATCTACCTCCCACCTTCAAATTGATTTTCCTTTAATCTTGGTAATTTCTATTCATATATATATATATATATATGTATATATTTCAAATTCATCCTTTTTTTTAACATCTTACAATCCCCAAAACAATTTATTACATTTTAAAAAAGGCCTTGTTGAAAGTATGGGCCAGAAAACGCCCGACCCATAAGTTTCAAAGGGCCCATTTGCAGTAGATACGAAAGTAACTTAAAAAGTATCTCACATACACGTGGCGGATTGCGACTTGGCGTGTTTGATACGCACCGTTTTGGGATCAAAACCAGAGTCGATTTCCTTTTTACGCAAGACAATCGTTTATTCATTTAGCTTTTCCCTGTAGGATTCTCAGTTTCACACTCTCGTCAAAACTCCAGGAGACCTTACCTTCCATCTCCCTCTTTGCCACATCCAGAAACCCCCAATTTTCTTGTTTCTTTGACGCAGAGGATCTTTCCTTCTCTTCATCTTGCCGCCGAGTGACTGACGCACACTTGCTCGCTCTCGTCTGTTTCGATTAGCTCAGTCCAGGGTTCCGCTACAGCTTCGCTCTTCTCTTCTCGGATTCTTTGCGGATTATACAGGTAAAAAGTTTGTTCGCTCTATTGAATACATTTATATGATCTTCCTGATGAAATGATCTTATCTAATTTGACTATTAATTTGCATTTGGATTTTATGCAGTTTAGGCGTATGTAAATATAATTTTTTGTCGTTAGTTGATGTAAATCGGTAATTGAATTCCTTGGTGTGTATTCGAGTTAGTCTTATTCCAATTTGTTTTTTCTTTTTTGGTTATCTGTCGATTTTCAACGTCGTATACTTCCCAGCCTGATATCTCTGTTCATCTAATTTTAGTAATGGAACATTTACATGAGTAGACTAATCTTGGCTCTGTTTACTTTTAATAGTTAATGTCCATGAAAATTGATCAAAATAATACATACCTTTTATTCATATTTATATTTTTGTCAATATTGCTGGTATAGATTTGAAGCTTAAAAACCACAAAATTGTTGTTAACATTATATTCTATTTATCCGTTTTATGTATTGTTAAGCCTTTTTCTCTGTTAATGGGACTGCAACAGTGCTTAATTCATCTCTCTCTCTCTCTCTCTCTCTCTCTCTCTCTCTCTCTCTCTCTTATAACTGAGATATATTGCAAATATATGAAACTTTTGTCCATTGATTATATATAGAACTCGTCTGAAGTTTAGTGTTTTAAGAATTTGGTAAACTTTAGGTTTTTTTTCCAAGGCGCTTCTCATATTCTGTAGTCAATGTGATGTCTGGTGACTTAGTTTTTTTAACTAAAGGATGATTTAAAGTTCTATGTTACTTGAGTTGTCTTTTTGTTCTTCTACAGAGACTTTCAGGGTTGATTGTCTACATCGTCTATTACTCACATTAAAAATGGTATGTCCATTATGTCTTTCTGCTAGATCATTTCATTTAATCAATGTTTTGGGATAATCAAGAGTATGCTTGTTGTATGGCTTACTTCTGCATTAGCATGTCTAGTTTTGATGTGTCCCCGTATTCTGAAAATATCTACCCTGTGCACTGCCCACTGCTCCCTGAGGACCAGGATGCATCTGGAATCTGAAAGCTCTACTTGATGATGAAGTCTATCAATCATGGGTTGGCTGGACCTCGATGATCTTATATTGAGGATATAATATAATTGACAGTCTAAACTAATGATCATTCCAGTTGCATTGCCATGAATGGTGCTGCTAGCAATGATACTTCTCTATAAATTTTGGTTAAAAGTAACTTATAATAAAGCATTCTGAGACAACACAGATTATGATGCTCAGTCATTATACCTTAATAGGGAACTGAGTAGTTTGTCATCATATCTTAACTTTACAATTTATTATTTAAAATAGCTTTTTTCACCAATTGGTGATCCAACCAAACATCTTTTGCTATGTTGGTGAACATAGGAATAAATTTAAGAAATAATACATTTTGCACATTTTTTGTGTAATCTGTTGCCTGTTTTTGTCATCCTAAACAGTTGCTCTTCTTCTTGTTGTTCTCAGTATCTATCAGAAAACTACCATTATATGATGTAACTAGCTATTAAGTTATCTATTTGTTGTGACATTTTCAGTTTTTTGACGGATTTGGATATAGCGGAACATCATTTGAGCAAAGCTATCGATGTTACCCGGCATCTTTTATTGAAAAGGTTAGTGAGGGGTTTATTGTGTGGTTAAGAAATGGTTTGTCGGGAAAAGTGTCATCCAGATGCTCGGTTATAGGTGATTTGATCTTGTGGTCATGTTTAGCCAACTGATCATATCTTGCCTGTTTGATAATATAATTATTAGCATCATCATATTTGATCTTGCAAAAATAAATATTTAAGCATATCCTTTTGTTATTACCTTCGTTATCTGATTCTATTTTTTTCATCCTGCAGCCACAAATTGAAAGTGGTGATAAAAGTAAGTCTTCACTCAGCAAACTTGTACATTTAGTCTTCAGATATCTTCTTGAACATCCTTTTAATGTTGCTTTATTTTTGGTATCTTTTCCCAGTCATAATGCCACCGTCAGCCCTTGATCGTCTCGGTTAGTTTCTGTGATCTAGTATCTGTTTAACTACTGCTTGAAATATATATTTTTTTTGAAAGAAAAGCTACTGCTTGAATTATTGTTGATGGTGTTTGAGTCATCAAATCAGATACAGAATACTAATTTACAAAATAATGCAGCATCTCTGCACATCGATTATCCAATGTTGTTTGAACTTCGGAATGCTGCTACTGAGCGGGTTTCTCATTGTGGTGTTCTGGAGTTCATTGCAGAAGAAGGCATGATCTATATGCCGTATTGGGTAGGTGGTTTTCTGTGGTTCTCCATGTATATTGTATGCTGTTATGTTGGTAAAGAGGTTTTAACTGTGAAAAAAGATTGATTTGATCTATTGAATTCTCTTATGGAACTGGTGTCGCTCAGATGATGGAGAACCTGCTTTTACAAGAAGGAGATATTGTGAGAGTGAAAAATGTGACTCTTCCAAAGGGAACCTATGTTAAATTACAACCCCACACAAAGGACTTCTTGGATATCTCTAATCCAAAAGCTATGTAAGTTCTATTCTAATGTTTAGTTTGTTTGGAGGCATGGAGATCCTTCCCCATCTGTTGATATCTGATGCTTTGGTCGGGAAGGCTCTTATTTTGAAGTGAATATTGTTGTCCCTTTATTAACTTGACATGATGTGCCTTGTAATATTACTCGCTGAGTTATTCCGGTGGCATGTTAAGAAGTTAATTCCACACATGGGGCCAACAACCAAACTGTTTGACTCTTCTTTGTGTGTGTGGAGGGGTTTGTGAGTGAAGTGGACAAGTTTTTATGAAGCTAAATTAGTGATCTGCTAGAGTTTCTGTGTATAAACTCTGTCCTTGACGCTTTTCCAATTGAAACAATTGTGCAATATGCCAATTTACCTCATGAACTATGTCTCACCATGATCTTTGCTGGGTTGGAAACTGATATCAATTCAAAATAAATCTTGATCTTTGCACTTTTATGGAGAGTGTCTGATTCACATCTTCATGCATTTGCACTTTTCCTTTTCTTCTCTTTATATGATAAGAAATTATTCTGCGTAATTATGTAGATATCGCTGCATATATATGCTAGTCAATGGTCTTTGATTTCATTGTACTTGTAATTCAGCTTGGAGACAACTCTGAGGAATTATTCTTGCTTAACTACTGGAGACAGCATAATGGTGGCTTACAACAACAAAAAGTATTACATAGATATTGTAGAGACAAAGCCTTCCCATGCAATTAGTATCATTGAGACAGACTGTGAGGTGGATTTTGCACCTCCTCTGGATTACAAAGAACCTGAAAAGCCTGTTCCATCTGTTCCTTCCAGCAAGGCACCAGCCCAAGGTGTGTATCTCAGTTTCTGGTCACGAGTTGCTTTTTGGAGAAGCTTGTTGCAGTTGTTCCTCTAGAAAAAGCCTTCCTCATATCTGGTTGAATGTTCTTTGCTTCTCAATAAACTAAATTCACATTTATCCAAGGAAAAAATTGTGGTCTTGCATATTTTCTTTGAAGAAACCAGTTGTTCCATGCATTTTATATTTTGTATCTTAACATTTGATTTGCGGAGGAATCTTTCTTTATAGTGCGCATATTTCTTTTTCCCGCACAACACATCTCTTGTTTGGGATGTTGGGTGGACGAAGGGTATAAGTGAGTGCTACTTTCATGTCAAATAGGTTTTCCTTTATAATTCATTCTAGGCAGGAGTTGCTCGTAATTTCATGGTAGGTTTGGAATTGCTTTTTCTTTTTCCTATTCATTTCTTGCTTACGTCATGCTTCTTGTTCTAGTTGAAGAGGATCCAGCACCGGCTGAACCAAAATTCAACCCTTTTACTGGAGTTGGGAGACGGCTGGATGGGAAACCTCTAAGTTATCAGCCCCCATCAGTTTCTTCCTTCCTTGCCAAAGACAAGCAACCCGACGCTGTGGCTCGTGGGAATAAGCAGCTGTCTGCTGGATCTGGTTCACAAACCACTAGTCACCAAACTTCAGGAAAGCTTGTGTTTGGTTCAAATGTTAGCCATCCTCGAACAGATAAACAGAAGGTACTCTTTGAAAAATGCCTCTAAACTTAAATATAATAGTCAAAGCCATCTTATTTTGATTTAGTACAAAAATACTGCTTTATTAATCTTTTGTCTATGTGTTAAAAAAGTTGATAATCTGATACTGGAATAGTACATTTAGGTATTTTTGCAATCATGTTTAAGTTAGGATCATGTTTTATTCCTATAGAATTATTTGCAACGATGCCTAAATTGGCTACAAGTGAAATATGAACAAGTTGATTATACACTCCTAACCAGTTGCTTGTAATTTCAAAATGGTCAGCAAGCTGGAAAAGAGACCAAACAAGAGCAGCAGCCGGAAAAGAAAGAAGAGCCAAAGTTCCAGCCTTTTTCCGGCAAAAAATACTCATTGAAGGGTTGAGGTAGAAAAGCAATGGCTTTTAACTTTTCTACTTTTGCCAGTCATCCACGGAGCGAAGGAGACTGCAGACTTATTATCGTTTAATCCAGGATGTTATATCATCAGAAAATGGAACTGTAGATTCTTATTTCGTAATTAAGAGGGGAAGAAAAGGTTAACAACTTAAATTTCATGTTTGTCCAGATTTAAATTCAGAAGAAAAAAATGAAAACACGTTTTTTTTTTCCTATATGACAACTCATGTTCATTTATAAACACCATTGAAGCTTGTGATTCTTTATATATAATATATTTAAATAGGTGACATACTGAAAATGTAAAGAAAAAGCATTTTGAAGTTGAAGCCGAGTAATGTAATATTTTTTTCTTAATAGTGTCCGCTCGTGATATACAATTTTGTGGTAGTATAGGTGCCAGATTAAATCATTATAATGTCCTCCAAACCTAGTCTTGGTTTCTAGTTTAGTTAAAATTTCGAGACTGCCTGCTTTAACTCGGTAGTTGGCATTTACCTCATGAAGTCTGTTAAAATTTAATTATAAAAGTATATTCTAAGAAACTCATCCCACCAAATATTGCCGTGCGTTGGCATTTTGTACAGCATTGAAGTTCTACATATCCATGGTTGCGGTGCATTTCATGTGAGAAACATATCAACACACAGCCACATAATTTATAAAAGAATTATTCACTAGTAAATAAGAAAGAAAAAAAGAAAGATAAGTAAGAGAAATACTGATCCATAATCTCAATATTGCTAGGTATATGTATAATCTCTCAGACTCTAGTGTCAGAAAATTCCCCGATTGATTAAAGAATGGATATTCAGTGTTGTCATCCACATATTCCTTAAGAAAGAATGGCTCTTAGTGCATCTTTCACGTAAGGGTACTTGAAGGGGAAACCCAACTCCTTGGCTCTTGCAGGTACTACTCTTTGCCCATCCAGAACCTGATCATCAGCTCAGATATATTTACTTCACCAATATGTGTATATTTGTATTTATATTTCAAGAAAAAAAGAAACAAGGGATAATGAAAATCATACCACGGAAGCACCTTCCCCTAAGACTGCTTTGAGAGCAAAGTCTGGTACAGGCAGCCATGAGGGCCTGCCCAATACTTTACCCAATTGTTCACACATCTCTGCTAATCGAACTGGGTTTGGTGCAGTTCCATTGATAACTCCTGAAAACGATGGGTATAATGAGTTCAAATATTTGTGTAGAACAATTCTTAAAAGCAATATAATGCAGTTAATGACTAAGAGAGGTAGCAATATACTACATGATGTAAGTATTTTCTCACTATTATTGGCAGGTTCATAAATGAATTCATAAATTTTACCCATCAATTTTCATTCAATAACAATACAAAAAAATACCACTTTAATATAAAGTCATTGCACATTATAATTTCTCGGCATTATAATGATCACAAGATTCACATTAGGAAGGATCAAAACATGTGATAAGTTTATAAACAATTGCCACGAGAAGTGAAGAGTGCAATACAGGAACCATCATTCATTTTATTTGATAAATATAAGCTTACCTTTGTAAGAAGGATTTGACAGTGCTTCATATATTAGGTTCACTATGTCATCCAGATGAATCCAAGAAAACCTACAGCGACAAGAACATCAATCTTGATATTATGGAGGGGAAAGAAATGAAGAGCTTTTGACATTCTTCAATTATTTTAGGACTTCTGGAGCATTTTCTTCGACAAATAATTGTAAAAGGAAAAGTAGAATGTCAAATACCATTGCCGTCCAGAGCCCAAAGGTCCACCCGCAAACATCATAAAAAGAGGAATCATCTTAGCTGCAAAGGCTCAAAGAATTAAAATTTCGTTTCTAATATCTGGAGCAAGTTATATTGAAGAGTTTATCATCACAGAGCTAAAATTGTATTTTTACTAATTACTTACAAAAATTAAAAGGTCTGTCTAATACAGTTTTAGTATTGTAAGCTAAGCACGATATTATGTTTCAAAAAACGTGTATGGACGTACATCATAAAGCACATTTCAAATATTTTGATGGCAGGCAAAACTTAAAACACTATTAGATTTGTTGTAGGATCTCTTGACTCTAGTTAGAAGTTGAGCCTGAGAATTGGTTAACACGCATGGCCCACAGGAGCAAATCTATTTGAAAAAGCTGAAAGATAAAATGTTTACATTGATAACTTCAACATTTGTGAATGTATAAAGAGAGGGAGAGCACATTGAGAGCTTAGTTTTACCTAAGGCACCGCCATCTTTACCAAGAACCACACCAATGCGGATAAGTGCTAATCTAACATCCTTATTGACTTTGAGAGCGGTTGCCTCCCATTCTCTACAAACCTGAAGAGGCACATTTTACCATGAAAAGCAAAAATACATGATTTCTGCTAATTCTGAAAGCAACTAAATTACATTTCATGAAACACAGACCAGTTTAGATAATAGCATATATAGCTCAGATAAACGATTTATGGCATGCCAAAGAGAAAAGGACTGGGGTTGGAAGGTGGAGGAAAAGTTACACAAATTCAGAAGCACTTATGTGCATGATTGAACACCATCTTGACATGTAAAATGGCTTTTTAACATGGGAAAGAACAAGTAATCTCTAACCTTTGTTAGAAAATTTTATTAGTCGAGAAGAACATGTTGTTTGTATAATGTTACTTTTCCCTGTCGCATTCTTTGAGACTATTTCTCAATAAATGAGAGCTTATAACATAACACACACACACACATGCTGAAGCGTGAATAAGAAATGTTCTTTGATATAGAAATATAACTAAACCCAATCAAATCAATTGTTCAGGTATATGGAATGGAAAATCAAACTATAGTAACCGGTGAAATCAAAATTATTTTTTCCTACCTCAGCCAAGTAATCATTCCCTGATGGACTGTTCTCATCGAATACCGCTGTTTCGCTACAGCCTGAGCATTTATAGGCAGCCAATGGACCAAAATAATTAAATAAACAGAATTTCTGAGAGAAGGAACATTAAATCCAAAGTTATTTAACGTATTTCCCTCAAAATCTCATTCAGGTAATCCAAATGAACTCAATTGGAACAATGTTCAGATTTGTCTTGAGTACAATCTATAAGCGTTATTACTCAGCACATTGTATTTATTCAGATAACTACTTTCTGGCCTTCCTTAATTAGTAACTAATAGTGCACACCTCCTCCAAACATAACAAGACAGAGTCAATTATATTTCCGTTTGCTAAAAAATAGACATGATAGATTTAATATGCTGTTACAGGATCCGGAATTCGGTGACAAGTCTTAATGCTTTGACGAATAGAACATAGCTTTTAGAGGTAAATTGAAACAACTAACATATGGAAAAAATGATACTATATGATGCAATAACATTATCTTCAGAGACTGCTCAATTTCTTGTTTCTTCATAATGCACAATTCTTGCTAGAATGAAGAACAAAGATGTAGTCTTTTAGAAACAAACCATAGAAACCAACAGCTGTTGCACTGACTAGAACAGCAGGCCGAGCACCTTCTGGTGAACTATTTATTAAATCTACAACCTTCAAATTCAAAATTGTTGAAAACAATGAGCTGAAAAGAAAATAAAGAGAAAATTTAAGCTATCATCTTCATGCTGTTAGCAACACTGTTATTGAGAAATCCCAACAGTTTCAGTATGTAGATAGTGGCAAAGAGAAAACAAATCAATAGACCTTCACCTTTGAGGTGGTCTTTATCCTGCTTTGCTTGATCTCCTTTTTGATCTGCAGCACATTTGAGGGGTTAACATTGATACCTGCTTTCTGGGTAGAATACCAATTCTGTAGTCTAATGTGAAAAAATATTGGCATGTTCACCCCATTACGAAGTTTGAAATATTTCTTCTTTTACAATGTAAAAACCTTCAAATTAGATTTTGAACTAACCTCAGAAGACCACCTTGTACTAATGGGCATTCCAGCCAAATTTACAACAGCATTCGAGCCCTGAATGCAATTTTTCCATTCTGGTTCCTCTGCAATTACAATTCCTGGAAAGTACTTGACTGATATGCCAAAGAGTAGTAGAAAATTAGGAGGGAAAAATAGTAGAGAAAAAGTAGGTAACCACAAAGTTAGAACATAACCATGAAAAATTGAAAATATAGGAGCTAAATCTGGAAAATATAACAGAATGCAATTAATAAATCTGCAGTGCCCCTATAAAACTTGTGTATGAGCAAAATAAATGCAACTACATTTAATTCATTGCAACGACTGACTGCTTGTCATATTTATCAATGATTTCCATTAATTTTGACAAAATGAAAGCAATTACCAGAAAGACAAATTACACATTACCTTCTTACCCGGAAATATTAACTCAGCTTTTGATCTAGAACGAGTCAAGACACGAACATAATGCTTATCTGCATTCAATGAAGAAGAACAAGCTTAGCTGAATGTGGAATTCACTGAATTTCTTCTAGATTAAGGATAAGAAAATGGATGGGCATGTCCAGGTGTTACAAAAAGAAAAAATAAGAAACTAATCAAAATAAATCGAATGAAATCTCCATAGTGATGCATCTTTCGTTCCAAGCTTAAAGATAAGTCCTCAGACTCTCGAACTATTGAGTCTTTTCTTAGCACATTTACAAGTTGACTATTAGTTGAGACATATGGAGTACAAATTAAATCACTATCACTCTATTATCTTAAATGTTTTTCTTTCTGGCATGCTGTACAGGATTGTGAACAATGTTAACAGCAGACTTGTTTTTATAAAATAATTTCTCATCGCTCTTATCATCCAATCTCTAAATTTTTCCAATATTATCCAAAGCGATAATAATTCACACACTCCTCGTATCATCACCCAAAACTCTGCCTTCACCCTCGATCTAGTGACTACATTTTGATTTTTACTCCTTATGCCACAAGATTGTTTACAAAGGAACTACAATAATCCGTAATAGACAATCAATCAACTGGTAGACTTGTATAATTTACATCAGTTTATGCTTCAAAGACTAGTCTGGTGTTCTGTTTGAACAAAATTCCTTTACCATGATTAGCCTTTAGGAAATTAAATATCCTGTCAACTGCATGAAGTTGAACCTCTGTTAGGCTATGCATAAATTGATTAATTATTCTTGCAGCATATACAATGTCTTGGTCTTGTATAAAGAAGACATATAAGTTCTCTTACCAGTCTGTAGGACGTCTCTCTGTTTACAGTTCGATCTTTATCTGCCTTTCTTTTCCCAGTTCTTGATTTTGCTTAATTTGTGCAGACTCAAGTTTACATGCTATTTTTTGGGTCTCTTTTTTAGGAAATTGATTACCTACTTCTGCTATAAAATAAAGATGTCTTCTCTTGAATGAATTACTTCAATTCATATAATGAACTACTTCAATGACATACTTCAATTACAAGCTAATTTTTCCTACATATTTTAAGATGAAAGGAAAAATTCCAAAAATACCATATTACAATGCATAGTTATCCTCAGTGAACTAAGAATAACTACAACAACAAAGGAGATCACATAAGAAGTATGTCCTATAAACAGACATACAATGTATTGAAGTTGCAATGATGTGAAGAAAACCTAACCTGCATGCAGTCTTTGTACCAGTCTTTTTCCTATAAAGCCAGTAGCTCCAGTTATTGATACAGTCATAAGATTTGTCTGCAAAATCATATGACTAGTCAATGAAATCTATCTTGAACCGAATAACTTCTGCACATTGATATTAGATTTTTATAATAGCAACTCCTAAATATATTTGAAAACAATCAGTAATTTGAATAGTTTGAACGTCGAGAGCTCAGGAAAACCAGACACAAGAAAACATGTTGAAGACGGTACCTTCTGCATTTGATCAGAACTACACCACACTCGGAATCTTTTGGCCTCAGCAATCTAAACAGCCACAAGAAATTTACATTCCCGTAGTATATAACATAAACACAGCATTTCTCATAAAAAAAAAAAATGCACATAATTACAGCAAGACACCCAATGAAGAGTGAACACCATACTCACAGTGAAAGATTGAGGCATGTGAAGAGAGGAGGAGATTGAGTGACTCCACGTGAGAGCAGTAGCTTTGCAAAGGAGCTCCATTATTTGGGGTTTTAATGGCGAGCTCCGTACTGAGAACTTCATTGCTCAAAACTGTTTCAGGTAATTATGGAAGTAGTCGTGAGGAAGTTGAAACTAATGGCGTGTCCGATTTGGAGCCACAGCAACCCAAACGTCAATATCCTTCACAGGGGACAGATTTGTTTTTCGATTAATCTTCAGCCGTTGGATCTTGGAAACTTTGAGGTAATAATACATATTCATAACTGGACCAAAGCAGACCCATTTCTAAAATATCCACATATTAGCCCGACCCAGTCCATTGTAAGCCGTCTCTGTTTTGAAAACGGGCCAAAATGGAGGCCCGTGTCTAAAAATATCCACGTATTAACCCAACCCATTCCATTATAAGCATCTATGTTTTGAAAATGGGCCAAAATGGAGACCCATTTCCAAAAATATCTACGGATTAGTCCGACCCAGTTCATGTAAATCGTATCTGTTTTAAAAATGGGCGAAAACATAGGCCCATTTTCAAAAAAAATCCACGATTAGCCTAACCCAGTCCATTGTAAGCCTTTTTTAGAAGATGGGCCACTATGAGGCCCATTTCCAACAAGTTCCACATATTAGTCCAACCTAGTCCATTATAAGCTATTTGTTTTGAAAATGGGCCACAATAAAGGCTCATTTCAAAAAAAATCTACGGATCAGTATGTAGTATGTTTTAAAATGGATCACCACAGAGGCCCATTTCTAAAAATATTTACAGATTAGCCTGACCCAGTCCATTATAAGCTATTTGTTTTGAAGATAGATCACAACGGAAGTCCATTTTCAAAAAATTCCATGGATTAGCCCAATCCAGTCCATAGGAAGCCCTTTTAGAAATGGGTGATCCATTTCTAAAACTATCCACATATTAGCTCGACCTAGTCCATTGTAAGCCGTCTCTGTTTTGAAAATGGGTCACAATGAAGGCTCATTTCTAGAAACCTATGGATTAGCCCAACCCAGTTCATTGTAAGCAGTATATGTTTTGAAATGGGTCACAACAGAGGCCAATTTCTAAAAAAAAAGTCCACGCAATAAACCGACCTAGTTCATTATAAGCTGTCTCTGCTTTGAAAATGGGCCATAATGGAAGCCCATTTAAAAAAAAATCCATGGATTCGCCTAACCCGGTCAATTGTAAGTTGTATATGTCGAAAAGGGGCCACAACGAAGGCCTGTTTCCAAAAAATCACGGATTAACCGTCTCTGCTTTGAAAATGAGCCACAATGGAGGCCTATTTATAGAAAACCCATGGATTAGCTCGACCCAGTCCATCGTAAGCAATATATGTTTTGAAAATGGGCCACAACAGAGGCCCATTTCCAAAAAAAGTCTACGCAATAAATTGACCCAGTTCATTATAAGCTGTCTCTGCTTTGAAAATGGGCCATAATGGAGGCCCATTTAAAAAAAATCCATGGATGTGCCTAACCCGGTCAATTGTAAGCTATATATATCGAAAATGGGCCACAACGAAGGCCCGTTTCCAAAAATTCATGAATTAGCTCTCTGTTTTGAAAATGGGCCACAATGGAGGCCCATTTATAGAAAACCCATGGATTAGCCCGACCCAATCCATTGTAAGCAATATATGTTTTGAAAATGGGCCACACCAGAGGCCCATTTCCAAAAACGTCCACGCACTAAACCGACCCAGTCCATTATAAGCTGTCTTTGCTTTGAAAATGGGCCATAATGGAGGCTCATTTAAAAAAATCCATGGATTCGCCTAACCCGGTCAATTGTAAGCTGTATATGTCGAAAATGGGCCACAACGAAGACCTGTTTCCAAAAATTCACGAATTAGCCCGACCCAATCCATTTACAAATGGGCCACAATGGAGGCCCATTTCCAAAAAATCCACGGATTAGCCAACGCAATCCATTTTATCCCATCTCTGTTTTGAAAATGGGCAAAAATCAAGGCCCATTTCAAAAAATATGCACGTATTAGCCCGACCCAGTCAATTGTAAGTCATCTCTGTTTGTACAATACGCGCAGTCACGGGTGCAGGAGGAGCAGAGTAGGGGTGTGTAGCGTGTTATGGCGATGATACAGTGGTGCGGTGCCATAGCGAGGCGGGTGATGACGACGCCGCGGCCGGCGTTACCTTCTGCATCAGCATCATCGACGATGGTGCTGTGCGGGCGCGGGGACAAGAAGACGAAGAAAGGGAAGAGATTCAAAGGGTCATACGGCAACGCGAGGCCCAAGAAGGAGAAGAAGATAGAGCGAATCAAGGACAGGGTGGAAGTCCCCAGGTCCACCCCTTGGCCGCTCCCTTTCAAGTTGATCTGATTTAATCTTTCCTCCATTGAAATACCTTAGGAACTACCATGTCATGATAACCTCTAGTTCATTCAGAGTTTGTTTTTTTGAAAAATGTTTGGTGATGATGGTATGTGACTGGAAGCTGTAAATTTCCTATAAAATCAATGGATTTAACGTCAGCTTTTTGTTTATATTTGTTCAAGTAATGTTTTGATTCATTTCTTAAAATGGATTATCGGTTTTTTGTGGTCTTTCTTCAGTTTTAGATTTAGGGTTTTTGTTAAGTTATGAGATGCATGATTTATTTCAAGTTATTATCGGTTATTTATTGAAATATGTTAAAAGCACTAGCTTTTTTGCAGTAAGAGAAGAGAAGGGTGCCTTAATGTTGCCGTAATGAACATGTCAAACTTAAATAGGTCTCTGAACAGAATATAGGACCCCCAGCAATTTTCAGGTAAAATTTACAGCTTTTTCTATCCCAACTTGTGCTTAAGCAACTTAGACCATGAGAGAGTAAGCTGTTTCTAGGATGCGGATCTGAATTAAGGATCATTTCAGATGAGGATGTGAGGTTGTCAACTGGCAAGATTGGCTGAATGAATCTTGGAATGTAAAATTAATGGGTTAACTTCTTTTATGGTGAGTATACTAGATGGAGAATAGATGGGAAAACATGAAGACATTTTTGTCTTCCACTTGTTCATGCTATAAACATAGTGAAAACTGGTCTATCTTCCCAAGGGGATTGTACTCTTGGGCTTGAAATTGCTATGTAGTTAAAGATAGATGGAGACTTTATATCCTATGATTTAAACTTGAATTAAGTAGGAGAGAAATTGTAGTTCGTTATTAATAATACAGTCCAAAGTGTTTAGACTTGTATAGTACAGTTGCTGCCTTAGAGCATCTAGCAGATATACTTTTCCTTTGACTAGTAGTCGAGGAAATTTTGTGAATGGAGAAGAGGAGGATAGTTGGATATGTTAAAAATAGATATCAAATACAAGTCCTGCTGCAGTTTTTCGATAGTAATGACCAAGTGTTGTGGCCAATGAAGGTCTTCAGAACAGTTGAGACACAAAATACATGATGGGAGAAGCATTTACTGTTTAAGTTGTTTTCACTGCATGATAGCTCTCGAAATTCCAGATGAGTTTTCTTTGAAGTTAAGAGGGAGAAGATGAGAAACTGGAAGAGGCAAATTCTCCTATGATCTTTTTTTTTCCCGGAAGAAATTCTTCTATGATTGTAACATCCCCTGCCAACAATTTTTGACAGATGGCAGTAATACTAGTTGAAACTTTTGGAATCTGCACTGCGGCCTTGAATAGTGCCCTCTCCCTTTTTCTCTTTCTCCGACATGTCCCAGCAAATCCATTGCTAGCTCCTAGATGATGGCTAGTCCATTTAGAAAATAGATGAAACTGAAGATAACTGCAAAAACTCTAATGACATTGCTAGAAGATTGTATTTGTTATTTCTTCTAGGTTCAGTTGCCAACCTAGATCCAGTGTAAATCACCCACAATAACATTTGTGTTGTTATTCTTGCGAGGGATGAGATTTGAGTTTGGAAGGATATTAGGGGAGGAAAAAAACATATGATTCTCATTCCCCTTGTTATCTTTTGGGTAATGTGAAAAAGGAGAACTTTTAAGGAGTTGGAAGAGGGCTTTGATAGGGTTAAAGATAAATGGTTTCAGACTTTGGATCTTTTGATTATGGGTCATTTTACTACACAATGGAGGATTTTGAGGATCTTATTGATATTTTGATTGAGATATAAATATTTTGTTATGAATAGGTTGGCACTCCCTTGGTGTTTGTGAATGAATGAATCACACCATACTTTTTATCTTAAAAAAAATATAGCATTGGATCACTATCATAAAGCCATCAGCATTCACTTTACTCTTCGCCTTCCTCTTCTTTACTGCTTCAGTGTTCACTGAAAATGAGGACTTCACTGAGCAAAATTTAGGAAGAAATAATGAAAGTTTAGGAAGAAAGAGAAAAGAAAAGAAACACATGATCAAATGGATCCCAAAAAAGAAAATATAATAGAATCTCTGTTGACTCTATGATTAGATATGGACTTCATGGATTAGTTACTGCTATATAGAAGAAATGAAGAATAGATTGTTTGTTTTACTTGTTGGAGTCCTTTGTTAAAAAAATATTTTGTATATAAATTAAGTTAAAAGGCATTAGGGTGAAATGTATTTTATGCAATTTAATTGATTTTTTTTAAATAAAAAGTGTGAAAATATTGTATTAATAGGGTATCAAGAGGTATCATTCATGTATAAAAGAATTAGAGTATTAATGACATTCGCAAAATTCACATTATTGATAATGACATGAACTAATAAGATGGTCTCAAAAAATTGTATCCATCTATCTCTAATGCTATATGAATAAGTAATCTTACCCTAAAAAATTCTTAAATTTTGTTCTTTTCAGATAACTTAAAAAACAGTTAATAAAATAATATTTATGATATTTCTTTTTACATATAACTCTTAAGTCCACATTTCGTCGTAAATTGAACTCGCCACGACCTAATAGATTCCCAATAAATCATAAATCATACACTATAGGTCATGAGTCATAGGGCATCGAAGCAGTAGATGATTACAAGGCTCCTCAGCCATTAGATACATGTAACACCCATCGACAAGAATCTGTTCTTTAACTTTAAGTTTATCAATTGTGAGAATCTTCTCCCAGCGGACTTCTCAAGCAAAGAATGCAACCCTCGGAGGGACCTTAGTTTTCCATATCTGTTTGTAAGAAAAGTTTCGATAAACTATTGTAGGATCTTTCATTAAGAAATTGTAATAGGGTCTTACAAAAAATCTCTCATACTTCTCTAAATTCTAAACAAATTTGTCAGGAGTTAGTGAGATTTGTTGTGATGATAAAATTTTAAGAATTTCTATATAATTACTAAATTTTCGGTCATTTAAGTTTCTTACAATGAACTAATTTACATTATCATTCGACCATTGATATGCATCTTTAATGAGTATGTTCTTGAATTGAGCGATAGTAAAAATTTTTGAAAAACAATTTTTGAGATTGCTCCCCTCCATCCACTAATCAATCCAAAATTTGATCTTATTACTTCTTCCCAATTTTTATTGTGAGCATAAACTGAACTGAGGCCATCGAGTTAAGATTTTCTATCATAAGCCTTTGCTATGCGGGTATGCAGTTTAATTGATTGTTTTTCTTTTTCTATCTAAAAAAAAAAAATCTATATATATAAAATATTCAATAAAATAAATATTCAATCATTAGTAATTTTTTAATTAGTAATTTTATATCGTAATTATTAATTTTTTTTCCGTGAAAAATAAAAATTATTAAATTACTGTTAAATGATTATTTGAATATACGGGTAACTCTCGAGTCATTATCGAAAATCTAGGGATAAACTGTAAGAAGAAAAAGAATAAAAGATGTCACTCTTGAGTGAAGACACAGGACGACAAAATTATATCACATGATGGCGTCTATGCTGGGTTCATCCGAAGGGTGTTTTTATTATTTGTAAATCTACTGTCATAGAATAAAACACATTGGACTAATCGACTGATATGTTATTTTTTCTTTCAAATGAAGAATTAGGCTTGTAAAAGTACAGTTTCTTTCTCCACATCAATAAATACTGCACAAGCTCTTAAGGATCGAATGGACTTTTATCTGCAACTGGTAAATACTGTTTCAATTATTTTAATTTTTTATTAAAATGTTCTTACTTCTTTTGTTTTAATCAGGCCTGGTAGCCTAAACTGATACAACCCACCCGGGTCTGCATAACAGGCCATGCCCAGCGTAGTGATTTTGTTGAATGGTCCAGAACTAGACAAGTATGGACCGACCTACTCCTTTGCCCGCCCACCCCATTTGACTCCTACACCCGCATCTCTGGCCGAAATGTTTGGTGTTATTTGAGTGCTACCATGCAACTTGATGCCTCAGAAATTTCCTGAAGTTTCGTAGTAATTTAATGATTCTACAAAGTAATTTCTTAACATTGTGCAAGTAGTTATATAAGTATACAACGTTCGGTGAGTATCACATATAATTACTTAATTACTGCAAAAGTATCAAACAAAAAATTTATTACAATAGAACTTTCCATTTTATTGTAAGGATATAGAACAGGTGAAGTCAGCCTCCCGGCTGCCTCTAGCAAGGAGAATGAAATAGGTTTCCAAACAAGTTAAAAGAGGACGAACAAATTTTTGTTCATTATTAACTCAGTCAGGTAAGGTGTCTGTCTTATCAACAAATGTTTGGTAAATTCACCAGAGAAAGATCAAGATCCAAACGACATAAGACAGAAATTGGAAGCAACAGACCATCTGATAATGTTATAAAGGCAATCAGTTGCCACTCCTAAATAACACAAAACAAGATGCCAGCTGTAATTGTTTTCTCCCAAGCCATGGCCATTGATAAACTTCAATCTGCATGAACAGAGAGACAAGGTTCCAGTGTCAACGAAGGAGCCAAAGAGAGAAAGACACAGAGAGGAGAGACTACGACTTATTGAATCTCGAGGTCACAGCACTTAGCACTACCCTGGAGATCACAGGAGGTTGAATAGAAACCCTAGTCTTCATTTCCAGCCACTTTGATGAAAGTGGAACTTAAAAACAATTTTGGTAAATGGCAAACTAGAGGGATAAAAAAGACAATCATTTCAACAAGCTTTCCTTTGCTATGAAAGGAAAAACTTACATGGACAAAATATGCAAACACAACATACAAGTGTGTGGATATGAATGTGTGTATAATTGTGGATAGCCCAATATATTTTTGGTTAGAGGCCCAACACACGCAAAGAAATTAACAAGAAGCTCACACCAACACTCACTCAAATGCAAACCAAGAATGGTCATAATGACAACCTTATTCTTGCCTTGGAAAATGTGGGGTTTAATCATTATCTTCCCGACCATAATTGTATACTATCTCAATCTGCATCGAAAAAAGATAATATTCCAGGGTCAAATACCAGAAGATAGAACAGAAAGCTCAATCTAGCATCCATTAAGCAGAATATCTACCAATGCCAAGACCAAGGCATAATTTAAGAAGCACCAGGAGAACATAAAGAAGCAAACAACCAAAAGAAAAGCAATTAGTAGACGGTTAAATGTCTACTTTTGTTTGTTTCCCTTAGCTTTCTGCTAGTGTTATGCATCTAATCTTCCACCTTTCAGGTAGTCTCTTAGATCAAACTTTCGGCGATCAATAGTTCCAGACACACAAGACAGTTCAGCAAAGGAAACAACTAATGGGAGATTGTAGCTAAATCCAAAAAAACTTTGTAATCATATACAGTACTCTTGGAATTCAAAATATATATTTATATAGGGCAATTCACTTAATGAAACAAAAACTTACTGGGAGATTGTAGCTAAATTCTAAAGAGCCCTACTAATTATATACATATATGACGGGATAGTTAGTGTCTTGTTAATTACAAGTTAATTGAATTTGAAAAATCAAATTATAGTGGAAAGCAAAGGAAGAGCAAAAAATGACAGAAGAGCCTAGCTCACGAATATCACTACTAACAAATTTCTATACCTTTTGAATGAAGCCAAGTAGATAAACACACTTATAAAGTTATCAGTGAACCATAAGTGCATCCTAGGCTCACAGATAATAAGCAATGTGCTTAATAGAACAGTCATTCTACCATGAAAGAAAATTAGCCTCGAACTCAATAAAGAAACTAGTTCCAACTCCGAAGTCCTATGTTGGTACAAAAAAATGGGCACGATAAATGCATTGTTTGTCTCTTATTTTGAGATAAATGCCAAGTATAATGCTCAATAGCATGTCTAAATTCAAAAGATGGACAACAATAAATATAGATCATGCATAGTGAGTATATAATTGACTGATTACAAAGGTAAAGTCACAAAAAGAAACTACGAGCAGAAGAAATATAAACCAAATAATGAAATAGTAAATTACCCCAGCAGGTGGAGTTGGATTTCGAGTGAACTTGCTACCACCAGGAGCCCAAGGAACTGTACATTAAAATATTAGTGAGATTCAAACTGCAAGGATGGAATGAAAACCCAGAAGAAAAAGAGTGAAAAGGAGAAACACTATTTTCATAATCCAATACAATGAAATCACGCAAAGAACCTAAGTCCACATGGAAGCCACATGTAAAACACAGTTTAAACAATATGCCAGGATCTATAAACCACAAACCTACTAGAATGGAAAATTCCTGGCTCTGATAACACAGATAATGGAGTTCAAAATTTTTTCTGCATATTTTATGTCAATATTTCTTTCCCAAACTAGTAACCTCAAAATAAGGCAATCATAGGAAATCTGACGTCTAAAAAAGCATCTATGCCTTGACAATTTCCTAGATCTATGATGGTACTTACCAATATAAGGATCAGATGCCGCCACTTATTATAGCTTGCTTCCCCTTCCACTATAAGTCTATCAATTGTGTCAAGATCCTCCTGCAAACCCACGAAATGAAGCTCAGGATAAGGGCACAATGAGAGGGAGGAATAATAAGTGCACAGTGGTGATATCAACTCAAAAGATCATCGGTCATTGCCATGTCTGGCATTGCAGCTATGAAAATTATCATCCAAACAGTCTTCCGAGCCTACATCTTTTGTACATGGGTTGCACCCCCTTGGTGCTTTGTTAATATATCTATACTTTTGTTTCCAAAAAAAAGTAAATCCTGATAGTTCAATATGCAGGTCTTGGTGCTCTATTCTTTCCTAAAGAGTAAGAAGTCAACCTTGACATGTTAATACAAAGGGAATGAATCTCACTTCTTCAACAAAAACTTTCCAGCAAGAAACAACATGAATGCATCAAATGATGAAACAAATTCACATAGCATTTTTAGGTTGGTTTATGATACTAAACAGACAATTTGCCTGACTCAGAACTTAAACATTCAGGCATTTTCAAGTTCAACCAAAGTATCGGAAAAACCAGAGGCTAGGCATAGAAAAACCAGATTCAATACACCAATCTTCCCTAAACCTTTACACCCAGCAAAGATCCAACCACTAAGAGCTAAACTTCCCTAGAACATAAAAAAACATTCCAATTTCCTTCACACCCATATACTTAATTTGATAACATGATCGAGAAACATTCATTATTTAATACGAAACTCACAGATTCTAGCAGTTCATACTAATTTCCGATTCGATTTACAAAATTCCTAGTAAATTAGACATTGCTACGTATACTTTGTGATAATTCCAGAAAATCACAAAAAGTAGAGAAAGGAGATGACGAACCACATGCTTGTTGGCATCGAACTTCTCACGCAGGTCCGAAGCCTGGAACATAAAATTATTCAGAAAACAAATTAAAAGGGAAAAAATTGCTCAAAGCACTTAGTAAATTAGGAGATGAACTCGAATGTAGTTGAGAGAAAATAATGTCTGTGTCGATAAAAAAAAAAAAAAAAACGATAAGATCAATTTATGTATGTGCGCTTAAAGAGTGCGAGAGGATACATCTTTATAGAAGAGGTGGCGATGGACAGCCCAGTTGAGAGTGTCCTTGAGGGCACGGCGGTAGAGAATCCGAACCCTCTCCTTCTGCGCTGCCCTTCGAGCTACGTACGCCGCTGTTGATACTCCGCTCATTTTCCTCGTTCTCCAGTCTCAGCTTCCGGTTCTCTCTTTCTCTATTTTACGTGCTATTTGACGATGATGCAGTCACTAAAACGACAACGTTTTTGAAAGCATAACTTCTTTTTCACTATGCCTATTTTCACCTGCCAATTAATTGCAGTATATATATAAAATTCAGAATCACTAACTTTTTATTAATATATATATATATATATATATTGAGCAACCTTAATCATGTGTTAAAAATTCTTATATTTTATTTAAATATTACGATTTTAAAATTTAGTGAATACAAAGAAGAAATCAGCCTATAATATTAAATTATTTTGAATATTTAATTAAATATATTTTGATGCGTAATTGTTTTCAACAAAATCAATCACAACTCATTATATATATAAATATTTGAGAAATCACTGCATTACCTTGTCATAACAGGAGTTATATCATGGTACCTCCAAAGCAACATGTATAAAGAAACCGTCTGCCATTTTGTAATAATTTGATAAAATTGCTTACAGACATGTTAAGATGAAGTATCCATATAATACACACATGAATTATCATTAAAAGAATCTACTAACTCAAAAATCACTTTGGTTGAGTCACTCAGTACCTTGAAGGTGGAGGAGTTTCAATACTCTGACAAATTTCGTCAAATATATATAATCTCAGAAACTTCCCTGAGAGGGAAATCATTGCAGACCAACAGATAAACTGGGTTTCAAATCCCAGAAATCAAAAACCTAAAACTGAAGATTCACACAACTAGGAACATGAAAACCCAGCCATTGGTTAATCTGAATTCAACATTATTAAAATTTAGCATTTTCATTTCTCACCCGAGTTATACAAACGATGTATCAGAAAGCCATGTTACCAAAACCCGTTACATGTGATTTTGGTTGCCTAAATCAATCAATACACAATCCAAGAAACAGATATCCGTAGGTCATCTAATGAACTAAATAGCAAAAACATCAGATTAACTTCAGCTCCTAGGCACCAGGCTAAAAGATTTACGCAACAAACAGAATGATTACTAGAAAATCTGCCACGATTTCTAGCATGAAAAGAATGCTATTTGCCTATATAATCAACAAATAGAATCCTTGCCGCATGTGTTTTGCGTGTGTTATGAGCATGAGCAAAGCTTAGAAAAGAGATGCCATGCTATTTTTCCAACCGAAGGATCTCCGCCTTGTACATGGCGGGGTGAAGCTAAGCCCAAACATCTCCTTAAGAGTCTCTCCTTGCTCCAAAAACTTGATCAGCTTAGCAACAATGGCAGCACTCTCTATTACGTGATTCATGTCCTTTGTGCTGCTCCATATAAGATTCATCAGTTGTAGTCTCCTGCGCTTTGAATCTAAACCAATACCCCACTTCTCATAAAGTTTCCTTCTTTCTCCTTCCGAAAACCTTTTGCGCAAAAGCTTACTTAGCATCAGTCTTTCACGGTGAAGCGCCCTCAAGCTACATAACCAGACAAAAAGATCAGCACAAGTTGAAAAGTAAAATATAGGGAGAGGAAAAAGAAAGAAAGTACCTTGAAGACAATGTGAGAGTTCTACCATGTTCGACAGCCTGATTTCCACGAGAGAAGTTTTCTTTTAGGTAGGAAAGTCTTCTTACCTCTACCTCCATATATATGGAATCTGTTGGATCACCTTTAAAGAGCAAAAAGAAATAGGTTCTGTGCACCAAAGAAACGTTGCATGTTTGCCAAAGTTCAAGTATTGCTTGCTGTTGCCTCTCAAAATCCTGTGGCCAATTTGCAGGAGATTCAAATGCCTCAGTCATTGCATCCAAGCCTACATCTTTTACACTCTTTTTGGACCCGTTTGCTCTTTGTCCTGCTCCTGAGCCTGACATGTCCAAAGCCAACCGAAAATAAATTCATGAGATAATGACATAAGGAGATAAATTCATGAGATATGGACGTAACAAACACAACTAAATTCCTGCAACCTTAAAATATGAGTATCTCTACCTGCCCATGATGTTTGGCCATTTCCTTTAGCCCTGCAACAAAAGTATGGATGCTAGTAATATCCTCATCTGCAGAAGTTTTGATGTCTGTGGATGCACTCTCAAGAGAAGACCGAGAATTATTTCTTGACAGCTTGCCAACGTCAACAGCATATGTAAATGGAGACAACTTCCTTCGGACACTTTCAGGTCTTCCAGGAAAGTTTTTCTCAGAACCATTTGGAGGGGTCCCTGAGCCAGTCATGAGATTTGCTCTGCAACTAATGCTTCTGGTTAACTTTAAACTTCTAGAACTTGACAGGTCAGGGCCTAATTCCTGGGGAGATGATTTATCAGGGTAAGGACTCATCAGAGAGTCAATAGTCTTTTGTACATGGTGGAGGCTCTGCTCTAATGCACCAAATGTAAACCCATTTTGACTCACTTCTCTCTCTCTGTTAATGGGCCTTGACATTGTTTCCTGTCCTACAGCTCCATCAACATCCCCAGATGGTGTCAAAGCCAACATTCCTTCACCTTGACCATTTGAAAGGAGACGAGATTCAACATTATTGTCCCTTCTTGACTCTTCCATCTCAATGCATTGAACTTCCTTGCAATATTCATCAGGATCTTCTGAAGTTTTCATTGTATCCTCCTTCAGATTTGGGACAAAATCAGATTTTAGAAGCTTATTTCCAATTGACAGAGGTGATGAGGTGCCATCAGACATATAGTCTTCATGGTTCTCCTGAAGCTTGTAGTAGGAATCCTCACAATTACTTCCACTCTCTGTATCATAATAATTTCTTTTTAAGTTCTTCCCACCCATGCTGAGATGATGAGAATCCTCCATGGCTGAGATTTCTGATAAACATTCATCTTCCCAAGTACCCCCCTTTTTATTAGGATGCTGGCTGACACCAGACTGATCAAAGGAAGGAAACAATGAGTCAAGACTAGAAGGGAAAACGGCTCCTGGTGGCAGTTAACTTTAATGACAAGTTTGGTACTTGTGCAATACATCAAATTCTGTGTGTGCGTATGTAACTAAAATACAACTATTTTAACTAAGCACTGGCACATACCCACTCTTTCGAATTTTGATCATAACCAACCATTTTTAGCAAATCCTCCACCCGTGATTGAGCAAGATCCCTTTGCTTGCTCAATTCTCTTATCTCCTTCTCCATCTGCAAGATTCAAAAGCAAATAATCAATATCAGCTGACGGGCCATGAATTAGCTCCATGTACATTTTGTTGGGCTTACTTCCATAGAATTTAGGAATCAGCTAAAATTCATGTTGCACAGCCCTGAAACCCTAATGGCAGGAATACAAATACTGGCTACTTGGGATAAAACTCCTGAAAGCTATAACACAAATGAAATTCCTGCACTGTGATTGAAATGCCCTAGGATGAGACAATTGTTGCTATCAGTGCATTATTCTGTGAAAAGGAAAAACATTGGACAGAGATTCTAATGAATAATGCTGTGAAAATAGTCAGATGTCACTGCAGAAAAGTAAAACAATGAACGCTAAACTCTTGGTACCTAATATTTCTACCAACAAAATATTCTAAGCTTCCTCTTGGTGTATGCATTTCAGATGCAGGCGCATTATATGCAAGTTTTGGAGTTTGTCTGCACCATATTCAGGTATATCGCCAGATTTTGCTGTGTTTTTTTGTAATGTCACAAATTCATAGTCTTTTATTGAAATTTTCTTGTCGGCTCATTAAGATTGAGGAATTTTTTTAATTAGGATTTGAACTTGAATGCAACCCCCAAGTATGCTTATTTTACAGCACAGTGCATTTTCAGCAATGATGAGGCCAGCTAAAGGGAAAAAAATCCATGTCAAAACAAGTTTAAAGACAGTTTGGAGAGTAAATAGCAACCTTTTGTATCTGAATATCTTTCTTTCTTAGTAATGCTGGATAGTCACAAGTCGACGAAGCAGGAGTAGGACTTCTCAGCTCACTTTCCAGTCTAGCCAACTCTCTTTGCAAATGCTTAACCAAAGCCTTATCAGACATTACTACATTAACCTGTGCTTTTGTAGTAACTTCTTTTGCACAACAAGCAAACAAAAGAGTGTTCCTGGTTTGCTCAACATGGCTTCTAGCAGGGCTCAAAGTGCAAACAATAGCAGTTCTAGCATTGCCACCCAAGCAAGGCTGCAGTATCCGTGTCAACTTAGAATCTCTGTAATTAATGTGCCCATTTCTTCCCTTACTGCACTCATCATAATTCCATATCAAAGAGTTAAAAGAAAATCATATTAATCCTCTCTATTGCATATAATTTCAATAAGTACATAAAAGAAGAAAATCACAATCTTCTGTTCTAAGTGACATTCTTTGAAAAAAAGCTGGGAAAATAATTTCAAATTCCAGTGGCAGTTCTTTCGCATATTAATGACCTGGATGCACTGCATAGTCCAATATGTTCTTTTTTAATTTAAGATGCATGGTCTGCATTTAAAAAGAAATACAAAGCTAGCAGAAGAATCAACATGAAAGTATACATCTTCTGAAGATGTTTTTGGATGTGGAAGTTTGAAAATGTACATCGTGGGCGAAATTCTTCAAACAGTCTTGTTGATTATCTAAGCCATTATCAAATATAGCAGATGTTTCTCAGAAAGTAATATTTTGATGCATCACAACTTAGCTAGTCGAATAAACCCTCGAAGTACTACACTTGTTTAGCTACTATAGACAGCTAGGTCTCAGTCAACTGCTGAAACTGAAAAAGATAACATTGTGAAGAGATGAGAAAACATGTCAACCTAAGCTTACGAATAACAGTTCCTAGCGTCAGTAAGCTGCGGTTTATGTGGCAGCCTTCTTTCAGTCTTGTTCCAGCTGATAAGGCCTGTGATGCACGCTCACTTCCCGCCAGATCAATGAAATTCTGCACATAAACATCAACATAAACAGTTAATTGCTTCACCATAAGTTGATGAAATCACAAGATCCAAGACTAGATATTCGCCCATACCACACTGGCTACTAGGGTGGTTGAATTTTCTTTACCCAAGAACTCGCGAGCAGAACTTTCAATTGTCTACAACAGTTAATGTCCAAATAGGAGGTAAGTAAACAATGAATGGATCCTGTTAACAATGTATTACTTGACCCAAATATGCAAAAGAGGAATGAGGCTCACCAATTTAATAATTTGATGAGACCTAGAGCTTCTTTCATTTAAAGAGGTCTCCCCTATCCGTCTTTGTGCTGCAGTGATATAAAGATAACATAAAAATATAAGACCATCCAATAATAAAAAGAACAACATAAAAATACAAGACCATTCAGTAATGACTTCATCGATTGTGTTACCTTCACAAATGGAAAGGAGCTCTTTTAAGTGGCTCCAGTCCCTGAGAGTTTCCTCTGTGATCTTTTCAACAATAGTTCCTTTCTGATTAAAACAAGAATTCATTAGAACAGTATCCATACTCATAAAATGCAACTTTAAGGACAGTGGCATTCACCTCTGGATCATCTCGCAGCCTCAGTTGTGCATCATCTGAGGTAAGTAAATCTCTAATAGCTTCATTATAGATCTCGATAGCTGAAAACTTCAAAACAAAAGCTCTTTCTTCGTGCTGCAACATGAAAACTCAATTTAACATGATTTCTGCTAAAACTATTAAGAAATTTAGAAATCAAAATGGTAAGAAAAGAAATTATGTAAAATATATTACCCGGTGTATATAGTCAAATATATCTGCCACAGTGTATTCAGCTATTCCAGTCATGGTGTATGTCTTTCCACTGCTTGTTTGCCCATATGCAAAAATACTAGCTGAGAAAATGAAATGCAATAGATGAGAACCATTCTCTCGTCAAATATATATAGAATGAAAAAAAATTTCATTTTAGCAAAACAAAATATTAACGTGATACTCACAGTTGATACCACTGACAACTGAAAGAGCAATTGCCTTTGCTCCTTCCTCGTACACTTGCTTTGTGGAGCAATCACCACGAAATACTCTGTCTACCACCAGAAGAAGAGACCAAAGACAAACAGTAAAATAAATAAGAATAAAACTTTGAAGAACAATTTTCTTCTGGATGGGACAGGCAACTTCTATTAATATAAGCACCAAGACTGAAGGAGGCACCACCTATATATAATATTGATTCTTTACAAATCAAAAACCAAAGATATAGGCAACTTCTATTAATATGATCCTTGCGCATTCACCCAAAATTTAAAAAAAAAAAGTTTTATTCCAAAAACCAGGCTAGAAGCCGCGTATCTTTAATCTACGCAAAGCAACCTCCACCCTACAAGCTTTTTTATGTTTCTTTTCCATTATACTAAAAGATTGTCAGAGGGATGGGACATTTAATTAATAGTTCGATTTAGGACCTCATTAACTTAAAAGACTGAAAGTAAATTGAACCATCAAATATAGTTTTGCGGAAAACTGCCCATTTGAAGTAACTTACAAAATCAAACTCCCAGGCTCAGAATATAAGATACAATCAAGTACACATGCAGATAAATCAGTCACAAAACCCCGTATGCAGATAAATCAATCATAATTCATAACCCAAGAATCTGATTAGCGATCATAATGAAGAAAATCAAAAGCTCTCTTTGGCTATTTACTCTCGTTGAGTCTTTATTCTTTTCTGACGGAATTTAAGAACCGCCTAAAAATCAACTTAACCCCGTCAAATTTTTCTAGAAATAAGACTAGGTACATGTTAGACAATGATCTGAGATCAAATTCCGTACCAGATGAGCAGAAAAAAGAAATAAGAATATTTGCTTACCGAATGAATAGGTGGATGGAAACAATGATCCTTCCCGCAGTGTGTTCCGATATAAGATGGTAGTATCATTGATGCATTCCCAGTCTGCCACTTCATTGGCTGTGATCTCTTTCTCACTCAATGGCCTCAACCTCACTAAAACCAGAATCTTCTCTTCCCGCGTATTTGCCACTTGCATCTTCTCCAACTTCCTGAGCTCTTCCCCATTGATAGCACCCATTATTCACACACACACAACACCACTTTTGTTCTCAACCCTACCACCAAGTAATCAGAAGAATCCCATAATGCACAAATTCACCGAGGGGAAAATGAAACTCAAGGAGTCAAATAATCACAGTCATCTCGCTTTCCAACAAAGCGAGGCAGTATATATGTTAAAAAGCAAGGTCGTTACACTTGCCAGAAATATTGTGGCCCGCCTAGTCCTTCACTGCCACAGTATCTGCTACAACAAGCTAAGCATGGTTATTATCCAAGCAACCCAATGACCTAGTAACCACTAATCAGATAGGTAATCAGAGGTTAACTCTGTAACAACAAGCTAAATCATACATCCAAATCAACTAACCGAAAATTGAAAAGAAAATGTAACAAAAGATTACCGAAAATAATTAAATTAATTACGGGTAATTGGATTGAAAAGCCCCCATCCACTCTCTGGTCTGAAGCTTTCTTTTTATTTCTTTTTTAAAAAATGGAGAAAATAAAATTGAAAATCAAGCTTAATTTCTTCAAAAACGATCAACTGCAATGTAAGGACAGATAACTTTCCGTAGTGGTGCCCAACTATGCTTGAAGACGAAGTAACAAAACCTTATTTAACCTTTCAATGGAAAAACAAAGGTACATGGTCCCCTGCAAGCCAACCCATCTCTCTTTCTCTCTCTCTCCACGATAAAGGGGGTGTGAGGGATGTGGTGTCTGTGATTGTGTCTGCAACAAATGCGTGTGTATGTACATGCATCAAAACAAATCTCTACGGAATTTTTTTTACGCTCGGATACAAGTTTTTACCTGGTAATTCATTGTCGTTTTCAAGAGACGGTTAGCGAAACTCAGTTTTAGTAATGTAGGTCAGATAAGCCACTGGCTTTGCAGAAAGCGTTTGCCTATGGTTTCTTCCTCGAGAACGCCGTCGTTTGAACGTTCAACCTTCACTTGCTGTAATTTTGGTCTGAATCTGCATCTCTGTCGTTCTCCAGTTCTGCAACAAAAAAACCATAAACTCCACAATTAAAAAGCGCAGTTACGCCAGCACTAACCTTGCATTTAATGCCTTGTGTAGTTCTCCAAAACCTCCCGAATTTCGCGGATTTAAACGTTAGAGGCAAAAAACTAATTTTAAAAATGAAAAGAATCCCGACGGTTAATTTCTCAGCTAAGCAAAAATTTTCCGGGGACACCAAACAAACAGATCCATTTGTCAAATTATTCCTCGATCAATCCACCAAATCCAATAAAATGCAGCTCTTATACCAAAATATTCTCACTTCGTTTTCAAGAGAATCACAAAACCAGGAAAAGAAAGTTAAAAAAGAAGAGCTGATTTTTAACTGAACTGAACTAAGCGAGCTTGCTGTGGACTGAACCGAAGCGTGACTTGGAAAGAGCAAAATGCAAGAAGAAAACGCAAAACCAAGGGGTGCTAATCCTTTATGCGTCGAATAAAGTTCGAAATGGAGGACAGAGAAGGGAATCGTAAGTGAAAAGTCGAGGGTAAAACCGGTAGAAACGAGAAGAAAAAGTGAACCGGAAGCATACCCGAGATTGATGGAACAGTAAACAATCATCCAACAAGAGAGAAAAAAACAGAAGCAGAGAGAGAGAAATGGAGTCTGGTTTCTTTCTCTTGCTTAACTTCTCTCTGTCAAGGGACCAGTAGCGCGTTGTCTGCAGCCTGCAAATCAGACGCTGCGTCAACGTCTTTGAAGTTTCGATCCCTCTGTCCATTCTCTCTCTCTCCTCTCTCTCTCTCTCTCTCTCTCTCTCTCTCTCTCTCTCTCTCTCTCTCTCTCTCCCCTCTTGCGCTGTGGGTAGGTTGTTAGTAAATGACTTTTTTGCCCTTGCATTTGTTCTGAAATTCTGAAAAGAAGCCGCGTGAAGCAAAAAGATTCGAGGACTTTTGGTGTCAGTTTCTGACGCGCCACGTGGATTTCCTTTCCGTACCAAATCTCCGAATTTTCTTTTAATTTTTGGTAGAGCAATAATAATTTTTCTAATTTTCTATTTTATTAATTATAAATTTTCTATTTTAGTAATCATTATCTTTAATTTATCGAGAAAAAAATAATCATGCCTCTGTTTTACCTTTCTAAGTAACATCGTCACCGGTTTTAGTTTAGCCTTATCCATTTCATTTTATTTTTCTAATTTTTCATAATAATATAAATAAAATTTAATTTAATATAATTTAATTTTTCACCCTCATCCATTAAATTCTTTAATTTTTTTTTTTAAATAGTTAAAATAAATTATATTAAAATAATAAAATCTTACAATAAATAAGGACGGCTTTGAATTAATTAATAGGTTAAGTTTTATCATTCAAATTATTTTTTATTTCCATAATTAAAGTTGATACGATGTTTAATTAGTCATTAGCTTCCAATCTAGGAAACTAAACGTCAATTAGATAAGTTTTTTAAACACTTAAATAATAAAATTTATTATATTTATGAAATTACGTATTAAACATTTTTGGCATAACATCAAATTTTAATTATAGTTAGTCAAAAAGTAAACTATATTATATTATATATATTATTAAAATTAATTATTATAAGCTTTAAAATAAATTTTAGAAACCAAACTCACTTATTACGAAAATAAGCATACTAAAAGTATTTTCAAAGCATTTAATGTTTGATTAAAGAATAACACAGCGAATTCTTGGTACGAACGGTGTTGATGGAGAAACCATTGAAAACATAATTTTCATTAATTAAAAAAACAAAATAAATTACAATGGAAATAAAATAATAATAAATTATTATTATTCTTGGCTCCGTGGATCACGGATCACCTTTCAGTTGTGGCAGTAAGAGAAAGAAAGCTGAAGATGAGAAGCGGGCCCACGAAAGGAGTTAGTCGGTTGGGTTGACCACCACCATGAATAATTATTAAATTAGTTACTTTTATTTTTAAATTTAATTTATTTATTTTAAACGTTTAATTCTTTATTTTTAATAAACATTTTTAAAATAAGTATGTTATATTTAAGTATTTTAATTATTAATAATATTACGTATATTTTTTATTGTTGTTAATTGTAATTATACACAGTAAAACTATAATTTACACGATATTATGTTTAATTTTATACGTCGATTATTAAAATAAAAATGTACAATTATTTATTAATTAATTAAATTATTGCTCGTCTCATTTTTTCTTAATAAAACAATCAATCATATGAGACAAAAATTTTAGGTACCATGATTTTCCTTTTAACCAAACCTTAACATCACTTATTTGTCACATCCATGGATTTTTCTTCCTAAGTAATTACTAAAATTTCTTGAAGTGAATTTTTTATTTTTTTTAATAACTTTTAGTATAAACTAATCTTGACAATAATTTTTTTATAATACATAGTAATTGATATTCACTCGTAAGTGCTATACAATATGAGAAAATAAAAAAAAATTAAATTTTGAATCGAGTGAGATTAAAATTTTCGAATTTAATTATTCTATTATTTTTTTTTGTTGCATAAATCATTCAAATTTTACAAATTTGTACCAAAATATAATTTATATGTTATATAAAAAAAATAACTATATATATTATGAAAAATTGGATAACATTATAGTATCAGACGATCTAAATGCCACTAATTTTCAAAATTTCAAGTCAGATCATATTATTAATATTTGATTATGTAAGGCGCCATAATCAAATATTTTTACGACATTTAATTATAACGTCATAATATTATAAAATTTAAAGTTAAAAGTATTACGAATCTAATAATTTTTTATATATAAATTACTGATTCTCAAGCATTGAGATTTAAATTATTAACAATATATTACTTAAATTTTTTCATAAAATTCAATAATCATAAAATTTATCACTAAATAAATAAATAAAAACTTCGTATTGAAAGAATTTGTACATACATACATAATAAATACAGGTAGATAGAGAGAGGTCAGAGGGAGAATATTATTTTTCTGGTCATATGATTGTATAAGGTTGCACGCGTAGCTTGTTATTAGTTGGGTCCATCATATTTTTCTGATGATAATTTGAAATCATGACAATTGCATTGTCTAAGTATACTATAAATAAATACAAACATAGATATGTATATATATATATACAATTAATCAATTGATTTTTTGTTTGCGTGTATTATAAAGAATATAAAGAAAAATAAATTAATGTCATATATGGTCAGTAGTTATGTATTATTGTTTATATTAAAATATATGACGTTAATGTATACACCTTCCATATCTTAGTCAACTAATATTTTTATTCGATAATGTGACAATTTATGTGTGTATAATTAAAATTAAAATAATTGGTACTTTTAATTTTTTTTTTCGTGTCTAATTCTTTTATTTTATATAATAATATATTTATTACCTATTTGTTATCAGATAAATTTATTAATATTATAAAAAAATATGTCATTATACATGTAAGATTAATAAAATGTTTTTATTTATAAAAAAACATAACTTTATCACCAGTGAAATATTTATGATGTAACATTATATATATAGTTAACTTATATTATACACAAATATTTATATTATATAGTATAACTTTAATATATATATATATATATGCGTGTGTGTATATCGTAATATACAAAAGTTAAGCTCACCCACCAAAACTCATGTTGGGAAGAGTTGAGCCCATTGCCCACTTGACAAGTAAGGGTTTCAGCAGTTGAAGTGCAAGCCACCGCGTCGACAAGCGCGTCGACGTTTAAAATCAGTTAAATGTTTTTTTTAAATAGAAAATCAATTTTAAATTCACCGGAATGCGAAGAGCGGAACAGATCACAACATGAACAGCTCAGCATGTAAAAAATTGATTTTCACCGTGGTATTATACCCGCTGTTTTTAGTGAACATGTTTTTTTCACCGTTGGATAAGAAATAAGCTAAATGGTAAAGGTTCCAAGATTTCAATCCAAAGGTTAACATTTCGGGCTCAGAAAGTTTTGGGTCAGAGCGAGTGCAGCAAATCATCTCTCTAAATACTGAGCGTCTGTAGCGAGTAGTTATGATTTACGTACCGCACCGAGTTGTCATGGAGCGTTCCTTTCTTCTCTTCGGCTTCGTCTTCCCTGGCTGAAAGAACACTGGAGAAAGAGGTCCAGTTGTTTCAATCCATCAGGACCATCGCCAATATAATTTAACGCCCTCCATAAATTCCTTTCTTAATCCTCTCCTTCGATCCGTAATCTCCCTGACGATCCTCTTACTTAATCTCATTAACTGATTGTTTGATCGCATGTTTATTTATGTATGTTCGTATCTCTGTCGATTGCTTCTTGCTCCCGGAATCTTCTACTAGTAATTGATTAGCTCCTTGGCTCTGGCGAGGAGCGATGTATTTTTTGCAGAGAAAAAAGTAATGCGCAGAAGAAGAAGACAAGGACGAAGACGAAGAAAATAAGAGGAAGCGGAGCGAGATAGCATAAGAAAAGGAAGAAGAAAACGAAATGCGAACTATCTGCGATGCGTGCGAAAGCGCCGCTGCAGTTGTCTTCTGCGCCGCAGACGAGGCCGCTCTTTGCAGTTCCTGCGACGAAAAAGTACATACTCCCATCTATAACATATATATGTACTATATATTTTTGTATTTTTAAATATTTATGTACATGTTTTAGATTGTTTGTATTTGTTTGGTTTGATGGAGCCAAGTTTTTGTTGTCTGGATGAAGAAATTAATTGAAGGAGTCAGATTTAACAAAAAGATAAATGGAATAGCTATGAACTGATTCTATTTTAATTCTATAATGTTGAGCTACAAACGGAGTACGGTAGGAGATTGATAATTTATAGAGAATACAAATATCGTGAGTATTTGTATTTTTTAAATATTCAAGACAAAGATGTTATGTTATCATTTAATCTAAATAGCACGCAAATAAAGCTTTGTGTCATTTTGCAATTTGAACACAGGTCCTAGTATCAATTTATTGAGTGGTGACAATGTTTATCGATCACTGTTATACTTGAATATTTATTTGAGAAATGGGTATGAAAGCATTTCATGTAGATAATTTGGAGGTACGAGCACTATTACCAGGATTGAGGAAAACCCTGGAATCAGGATTTGGGATCTTGTTATTCTGAAAGTGCTCCATTTGCGATCCAGTTTACACAATGTGGCAAGCTGAACTCGCTGGTGCGTAGGAAGAAGATCACAAAATTTTAACATCCATGAAAGAAACAAAACAAAAATTAGAGGTTTTTTTCCTTTGTATATTATGTGGAAACCAATGATAGAGTAATGAGAATCAGGATTTATTGAATATTTGAGTTTTTTCGTTTTTTTTTTAGTTATCCTATTGTTTTTCGTTGACCATTTTATAGAAGCACATACATATATTATACTTACAAATATGTGATCCTAATAAATACTCCAAAATTGGGTACTGCATACAGTTGCTGGATAGCTGCTAAAAGCCACCTCATACTCAAAATAAAAAACTCTACAAACCTACTCTCATATGTTATACCAAAAATGACAAACTATGTACCTATTGCTGTACCCATACTATGTAAAAGGAATTTTGGTCCATATAATTTTGGGTAGGTAGGAATGACATAAAACCTCTCATTTGTTGAACAAGTAGGATTTAGGACAGAAACATGATGGTGTGTAAAAGACTAGATGAAAAGCTCATGGTAGGATAGGGGTGCTTTAAATATGTGTCTTTAGTAGAAGGTAATTGACAGGTAAGCTTAAATTTTGTATCAAACTTTTTCAGAAAAGTTATAATCTTAGCAGATAACAATTATGATAGTAAACAAAATTGCTAGGTAGCCACAACGACTTTAATCTGGATTTTGCTTACCTGTAAGTTGTTGCATTTTTCCTTTGCTGTTTTCAGGTTCATATGTGTAACAAGCTAGCTAGTCGGCATGTCAGGGTCAAGCTAGCAGACCCTAGTGATGTCCCACGTTGTGATATATGTGAAAATGCACCTGGTATGAAGTGTTATTATTACATTTCTTTTTCTTTTCGGGTGAGAAATTTCATTTTGAACTGCTGTAATAGTGAAGTTTGCTGCTTCCCTTTGGGAACATGTATGTAGCTTTCTTTTACTGTGAGGTAGACGGTAGTTCCCTTTGCTTGCAATGCGATATGGTTGTACATGTTGGTGGAAAAAGAACCCATGGGAGATATCTCCTATTGAGGCAGAGAGTTGAGGTTTGTGTCTCTGCACTGGGCAGGTTTTGCGTCTGTTCTCCAGAAGTCCTTCCACGATTACTTTTCCCATTTGGTGTACTTTTCGTGTAGCTTCTAGATAAAGCTGGTCATCTGGAGGAACTGGGGCCAAAATCCCTTGATCAGAATGAAGCAACAAGGGACCAAAGGGAGCCACCGAAACTAACAGCGAGAGAAAATCACCAGAATCACCAATTATCTTCTGTTCCTGTGCTGGGAGATAATGTTAATACTGATGCTGATGCAGATGGAAAGGTGGACAATAAGTTGATTGATTTAAATGAAAAACCCCAACGAGTGCTTGGGCAGGCTTCAACTAATGGGGTACGGTTCTCTCAGTCCATCTTATTATTGAGTATGGTATCTTTTTGCATTTTTCTTCCTCATTTTCATCGTAAGATCTGTAGTTCATCGCCCTATCATAAACACACATTCTGGCCATTTCTAACAGTGTGTGGATGTAATTAATGGAAATAATCATGAAGCTGCAAGCGTGGTTCCTGTTGGATCATTCAAAAGGGAGCTAGACAAGTGAGCAGGTACAACCTTACCATCTTTGTTCATATTTTACATCTTCATTTGTTTTATGTGAGTCGACTACGCATCAACTTTGGGACAGTATGTTATCTCTGTCTTGCATTCTTGGTACTATCCCCTACATATATTGCATGGAGGGTGCTATTTTATCTGCCTTTTTAAATGCTAAGGAGCCCATGTAAATGGTTTTTATTTCAGATTTATATGATGATTTGAATTAAAGGCAATGGTGGTGTGGAAAACAGGCCAGGATTTATCTCTAATTGTCCAAAGACCAACAACAGTTGTACAATTCCATTGTTTTTTAGGTGTACAATTATTATTGCTTTTTAGGTTCAATAATCTGCTTGTCATTTTTATTGAATAGGTGACGATTTCTGTCCTGAAAACCATTTGATAATCTTTGCCAGGAAATACTTTATCATGTTAATGTATTGATGATAGACTTGAATCTGTGCTGTGACTTGATCCTGTGATTTTACTGTGTCACAGACAAATTAGTTACGTTTTGGTGAATTAAGTGACCGTAATTTGAATGAGGACTATTCAAGCAGGTAGGGTATATTATATATGAATTCCATGAATCAGCATATTAAAGCAACAGCTAAAATATGTGTCATCATGTGGCTCCTTGCAACTATCAGTATGCAGCTTCAGATACCTTTGCTTTTGATCAACTGTTACTGGAGAGAGAAAAACATAAGAAAAAAAAGTTCTATAAAAAGCAAAACATTTGACTCACTTTTTTTGTATGGATCAATTGGTTGCTATCCTATATGGAACTAGAAATTTGTGAAGGCAAAGTGAAAAGAAAAGTTCATACCGTTTGTTAATTGTAACTACTTGTGGTTTGCTTGTGGAGGAGTTAGATTTTCATATTTGATATAACACATAGAATAAAGAAAAACAGACTTGTGCAAGTATTGGTATTGTTGTGATTATTTCATCGGTATGCCTCTGCATTTTGTGGGTGCCAATCTATGATACTAGCATGTGGGATGTGAAAACCGAGGTGGATAAGGTTAATATGAATTTTTGAAAATGAGTGTCTGCTTTCGTTTCTCTGCCTTTGGTCATGAATTTCATCCCATACCTGAGGTTGTGGTTGAACTTTGAAGGAACGAGGATGTTAGCCAGGAGTAGTTGATTCCTTCTTTCCTTCTTCCTACTCCTTCTAGCTGGATATGATAATATTTTATCTATGCTTATAGACTAAGAGTAGGGAAAAGAGAATGCCAATTTGGTTTATGGAGCCAAGAAGTTGCCAGATATCCGGTTATTATTATCTTTGTGGTTGGAATGTATGAAGGAAACGCCATATTTTCGTGATTTTAGTCAGCTCTTTGGTTTCACATATTGTTGCTGATGCATTGATTGCTCCAATTTAGTAATCAGTATCTAGATTTATTTTCCCTGCACTCAAGAGGGGATTTTTGGGATTCCTATGGTCATTGAGTCTAATTATCCAACTGAAAGAAAAAGAAAGTGTAACTGCAGTTTAATTATCCAAATAGTCTTTATCAGGAAATTAGAATCATATGGTTATTCAATTCATAATTCTGAGTTTAATATGTATTTGTTTTTGCTTGTCTTTTTATCCCTGAGATGACAACTTTCTTTGTCAAAAACTCTTCATCATTATAAATGGAGAGTAATGTATGTACTTTGCTGCCTTTTTGCCCGTGGCTGCAGATGCTCATGGACAAGTTTTCCTTGGCCCAGCTTCTTGACCAAATTAAAGGCTCCTCTCTAAGGGTCTATTCTTCCCTCATTCTCGGCCAAGTTGGAATAGATGGAAACAATTTAGCTTTATACCAAACCAATATTCGTTATCCAGAATTATTACAGAGTTCTTGGTAGTTAGCTAACTTCCAGTTGATACTTTCTGCATTTTCCACGTGGAAGTCCAACAAGATTCTGATGAAGTTTTTGTATATTCATTTGAGAGAAACTTCCACCCTAACCTAACCAAATCCTCATTCTGGGTCTTCTCCTCAATGAGACAGGAAACCTGAAAATGTTGGAGGTTACTCCTTCCATAACTTTGTTGCTTAAGAGGTAAGGGCTTATAGCTGCTTCTATTGTTTTTCTTTTTAATATTTCTTCCAGTTTTGTCCTTTACATGGAGGATAAAGGGAGGTAAGAAGATGATGACAAGTGATAAGAGTGATGGTCCTCTTTGGTGGTTTGAGTGTCCGTGCAAAGCGATAGGTGCCAACTCGAACTCATGGGAGCCTTATCGCTTGTGAGATTGAGTGAGAACTACCATGTCTAATTGGCAAGTAAATTCAGATCAAATATGCACTTGATGACAAAACCTACTGATTCTTGTGGAGAAAGAGATTGGAGACTCAGTTTACCTCTCTGGTAATTCTGTTAGTCGCATCTGTAAATAATGCTTCTTAAATTTCTAACTTGTTCTCTTGAAGTTTATTGTTCAGCAACTTGAACATTATGGGCTTCTGGTACTTGTCTGTTCAATTGTTATGCATGAGAAAATCTAGGAAACCATGTGATTATATGAATCCTAACCTTATGACCTTACTTCAAGGTGCAATTAGTCCAAGCATTTTATTGGATGTTAACATTTATGTAGACGCCTAACTAATCTCAACAAGAAGCAAGCTTATTAAGTGGCCAAAAGTACATGTACCAGTGAACAAAAAATAGTTTCCGTGGCTATAAAGCCCTCTAATGCATCGAGTGAAATCTATAGTTCTGGTATAGATGGTTCAGTACGTGTAGCCTTTGACGAGTGTCTGGAGAGTTCTTGCATCAAAGCATCCTGAGCTGCCTTCCCCGGTCTTCAAGCAAGTGTTCTGTAGATTTCTTGCATAAGAGAATGGCACGTGCCATGAATTGGAGTTTGGTCCGTGGTATTCAAGTTCAGAGTTGCTTCAACCTCAGATTGTCCACCAGACAGGAACTGCCCAACATGAAAATTTGGCATAATAAAAAACTTGGGCAATGGAAACAAATTATTGCATCTGCAGAATCTCTAATATTACATGTAAAAGTCTTATCTAAAGAGCTTATGCTAATGAAAATAGCTTTTGACATATAAATAGTAATGAAACTCAGCCATGATTATGAGGAGATTCTCCAGGCGAGGAGCTTGAGGGTGTACTTAACAACTTGCTCAGACTGGCCTTTTCTTTGCTCATCACCAGGAATGACCATTGTGAATCTCAACATTATGTGAAATAATTTGAATATATATAAAGTTGCAGGGATCCAAATGAGTTTTTGAGGAAGACGTAAAAGCCTAAATAAGATACCTTTCGACATTATTTGTATAACTTTTTACCGTAATAAACTATTTACTTCATGATTTTGAATCACAATTACCGAAGAAAGCCGACCCTTATCCTTGTAACTTCATCAATATATAAATAAAATATTCTTTTATACCACTACTTGGAAGAAAAAAAAACAATCCACTTAACTTCAGATGAAATATCCATAACACCTGTTACTGCTAGAACCAGAAAATTAAGACCACTACATACCAAACAATTCCATTCAAGTTTTGTTTAAGGAGAGATCTCCGACAGCAGCAATTAAATCATCAAGTGAGCCATCTTTCGAAGATAATATATTATCAGAAGACAGTGGCATGAACTGGAAAACTTGTTCTCCAAACTCGTCTTCCTCAGCCGGAATGCCCAAATCCCAGACCCTAAAAATATCAGCAATAGATGGCTCCATCAACTCGGCTGGAATATTGGTGATATCTGCTGAATCATTAGCTTCAAGCACTCTCTGGTAGTCACCATTTGACAGAATATCATCTTGTAGAGAAGTCTTTAAGGGATTCCTCTTAGAACCTTTTAATAGCCCAGCAATGATTTTCCTATTGATAGGTGAATCATCATTCTCTGATTCTGATTCTTCAAAAGTGGAATGATTGTCATTAGTTTGTTCGGGGATCCATGCAGCTTCTACCTCATCATTGGAAGCTAGTCTCTCCATATCACTTCCTCCAACAAAATCAACAGTTGTAGCTGTAGAAGAGACAAGTGAATGAGGCTCATCATCTAGGATTTCCATCAAGGCATCTCTCAGATGGCTCCAGTTACTATCCAAATATTCCGGATCCTTAATCAGGCAAGAATCAGCCCAAGCTATGTCCTCGGGAGAAACATTATCCTCACTTTGTCTGAACCCCAAAGATTCAAAAAGTCTAGATATGGAGCCTTCTTCTGAGTTGTCTCTTGAAGCCATTGCTGCATATTTTGCAAACCTTGTTTCAAGTTAGTCCAAAACATAGGTGTACAATCTAGCTAAAAAAAATTCCAAAGCTGTTCTTAATATGTTGCAGATTTAGGTTCCTGAGATAACATCTTTTAAATAAGAGAAAAGACAGAAAGCTAGAAGGTAGAGAGACTACTCCCATCTCGTATTTTCAGCATATTTAAGAATTCCAACATTTGACAATAAGAAGACACCAAAAATTAGATAACCAATACCTTACATACAGGCTAACAACTTATAAGGTGTTGTTGGGGGGGGGGGCTGGGAGAGAGGAGGGGAAGAAGTGCCTGAAACTCATGATGCTCTCAGTACTCAATTTCAAGGAAAAATAAATCTACTAACTTTCATCATATGATCGTACTGAAGAGATTAAAATCCATAGGATCATGACCTAGTAGAACCATCCTCACTCAATTTAGCTAAAGCACATCCTGGTGTTGCTATTTAATGCAGAGAGAGTGTTTGAGATTGCACCTAAAACTGCTTTAAGCACCCTTTGAGCACCTCTTCTCCAATATTTCATTTGGTAACACAAAAAGTAAGATACTTATTAAGTTCTTAAAAGTCACTTTAGAAAAGTAGAAAATGAACATTCCAATTCCAACTCTTGTATCTTCTTATTTTCTTATCTAACTAATTTACTTTATTATTCTCTTCATATCTTCTAAAAATTAACAATTACACATAGAACAATATAAGTAATAAATGTACAGATATAATTTAAATATATGCAGCAAATATAATTTCTATTAGTTTTTTAATTAAAGAATATGTGCTTATTTTCTTGTATAAGTATTTTATTTGAATATGTAGTAATTTATTTTTGAAAATTTATCTGTAATTTAAAGCAGCTGACTGCGTAAAGCGCATTTCTTCCTATCACATCCCAACAAATACCCTCTAAGGTTACATCTAGAACAAGTCATAGGAGATCAATATTTTTATCATTCTCATATTAATTAAATCATCTCCTAGTTAATTAGTTATAAATTTACAAACAAATCCCACAAATTTCTTGCTCCAAACATAGCGTGAAAAGGAAAAGCATTTGAGGCAGCACCATCAACACTTGAACAAAGAACATGTCACATTTAATTGAAGAACAAGTTCCTAGGACTATTTTCAGCAACATCAAAGTTCTCATTATAACTCAAAACAGGATGGAAGTGCATACCTCCTATTCAGGAAAATAAAATAAGAAAAAGTGTGCAATTTGCATTCAGGATCTATTAAGTTCAATTCTTGTTCAAATTCTCATGATACTCCTCCATTAGGTGCTACATTATCCTTCATGTGTGAAGTAAATTGGATCAGATTTTCCATGTCTAAACAACTTCCATGTATCAAAATTAGAGTTAAAGTTAAGTAAAGAAGATTGTGTAAAATTTTAAACATAAAGTTCTGAGATTAATTGGGTGCATAATACCAATCAAGTCTTGCAGAAAAAAATCTGCAACGCGGTGCGAATTCGACTAGAGCCCTGCCGACTCTACTTAATGGAGGCGCAGAAGTTGCCTTCTTTGGGAAGCAAAAGATGAGAGCTTAGGGTACTTGGTAGAAGAGGGAAGTTGAAGTCGTCGATGAGAGAAGAGAAGAGGGGAGAGTTTTAGGGGATGCAGTTTTTTTGGCAAGAACATAGAAAAACACATAAAAGCACAATTACAATAATCGATGGAGTACTGAAACATTCATGAGAAAAAAACCTAACGATGCAGAAAAGGAGAACGAAAGTTAAACCATATTTACAAGCCAATCACAGCTATATCAAAGGGAAAAAAAAAAATTGGGAGAAAGCTATATGTGTCTTTGTGTATAATCAAAAGAGATTAAAATAAAAGAAAATCTTACCCACCAAAATTGGAAAACCCTAATTTCCAAAAAGAGCTGAGAAGCATCAGAGTCGGAGCTTCTTCGCCGTTTGGAAGTAAGAAGACCTGATAAGAGATTCTTAGCGTATCATTAATTTGACTTAGAAACAGCCAGTACGACGACGGAAGAGAGCTATATGCTTCTTTGTGTATAATAAAGAGAGATTACAATAAAAGAAAATTTTACCCACCAAAATTGGAAAACCCTAATTTCGCAAAGAGCTGAGAGATCGCAGAGTCGGAGCTCGTTCGCCGTGCGGAAGGAAGAAGATTCTGATAAGAGATTGGTAACGTATCATTTTTTGAATTAGAAACAGTCAGTACGACGACGTTTGGTTAAGAAATGGAAAAGGAAAATTTTTCCTTGTCAGGATTTGAACCCGGGTTCCTCGGGTGAGAGCCGAGTAATCTAATCAACGGTTGTGATTTTCAGCATATCCTTTTAATTTTTTTTTTTTATCTCGCCTAATATTTTCATGTTCAGATTCTGTATTTTAACAAAAAATACATTATTCATATCTAAATAATACATATGGCGACATATCATACATTTTAATTTTTGTCTTATTCCGTTCCTCGCTTATTTGTTCATATCTAAATCCGTACTTTAATAATTATCCATCTTCTAATTAACAAAAAAAAAAAAAGAGAGTCATTGATTAAGAAAGCAAAGACCTGTGGCAAAGGACTATGGACATACGGTGCCGGAGCTCATGAGACCAATAAATATGGTGGTTGATATATATCTATATATATATGTGTGTGTGTGTGTGTGTGTATATGTATAAGTATGTGTGTGGTCTGTAGTTGAGGGCAAAATATGGTGGGTGGAACATAATAATCAGTGCCCGTCTGCTAAAAATTAAAAGGAAAGCCTATCTGGTTCAATGGAGTCCTCATGTAATAAGCAGCTTATCTATATAACCACCTCTACACTGCTCACTTTAAAATACTTTATTATTATTGGGAGAAATTTTAAATTCTGACGTCAAACCCTTTCCCCAGTTTGGTGGGTTATAGATTATTAGTTAACGAACTGCACTTAAAACATGTTGTAGAAAGAAAAAAGAAAATGTATGCTCAAAAAATTAATAAAAGAGCTGTTGATTTCATTTCATGTATGAAAAAAAGTCAAAGACATGTTTGGTGAGATTTCTACATCTCAGAAGCACCTCTCTTTTGTTTTTTTTCTTTTTTTTCTCTGATCACATTGAGTTCTTGTGATTAAATTACCTAAAAACCCAATTAAGCCTCTTCCCTCTCAGGCTTCACTTCACCTTAAGATGAGAGACTACTTTTTTCTAAACTTCAAGCTTACAAGGGAAAGTATTGAAACTATGCACAAAATGGGCTTATAGAGTTTTCTGCATTTGCTAATAGGGATTAGCTGCAAAATAAGCCAGCACTCCAACAAACGGTGCATTAATATATGTTGTTGGCTCTGATTTTCTATAATCAGCTCTGTCATCGTTGTAACTATCATCTTCACCTGGTCCACCCACCACAGCTCCAACTAAAACGTTAGGGTTGGGGTTGGTTGAATTAAAATAAACCGAACCCTCTTTACATGCTATGAATTGAGTATGGTCCTTGATGGAAGGCAAGGACGAGCCACGATGATGAATTCGTTGAGGATACTTGTTACCATAACCTACCATGTAGGATAATCCCATTGGATTATCTCCTAGTATGTAATCAACTTGTTTTTTCGCTTGTTGGCGAAGTGTATCTGGAGAGACAAAGAGGTTGCCACAGTTGACGGATTGAGATGTTCGAGATAAATAGCTTGCGTATACGAGCAAGAGGAATGAAATTGTTGTTGCGTGTTGCAAATTGCTGCCTCCCGGCCTATATATTAGTCCGCCAGGAGTGAACTCTATATGGGAAGATGATGATTCTGGTATTAGAGTACACATAAAGCTATCAGCTGATGCTTTGTATGACTCTAGTGAGTACATATTCCCTTCCATCACTTCCTGCACGAGAGTACATAAGAAAAAAAAAAAAAAAAATTAGATCTCATTTAGTTTTAATTCAAATAGATGAATACTTTTAAGTAATGAAAAATGAATATTCGATGTATAATGTGTGTGTGTGTGTGTGTATATTGACTGACCTTGGAAACAAGAACGTTTAGGCCAGCATGCTTGTTGTCCCAGCCAAATTCATTGGTGTTATCATCAGCACCAAGTGTTTTGCCATTGCTTTCTATGTAAGTAAGGTATGTATTATCTTCAGACGCCCTCCTCAGCCATGCTGCTCCCCAAAGCAACTCATCCTGCAACCACTCAAAATTACTTTATTTATCTAATCAAATTTACTTTGATTATTTAAAAGAAGCTATTCTAGTGCAAAAATAAGTTGTTAATGGAAGAAATGCTCTTATTTGCTTTAAGAAAGAGAAAGTATCGGAAGTTATTGTTGAAAATAATGGCAGGAAAGAAAGAGAGTTTAAACTTTCACGTGATGGAAATTAAGGGAGACAAGAAGTACAAGATGGGCATGTATAATTAGCCTGACATGTCCAAAATTGTAATGGCAAAGGGCATATAGAAATTAAACCCTTTTGATAAATGACAAGATTTGCAAATAGTCTTCTACATGTGTGTGTGGTGTATATATATATATGTTAAAAACCAAAACACCATGGATTTATGTAAATAAAATGTTAGTTTGCTCTTAGAAAAATAAAAAATACATGTGACTTACTTGATACCCGTCAAAATCACAGTAAAAAGGGCAGGCACCGTCTCTAATGTTGGCATTATCACTGTAAGCTCCTCTGTAATTGTCTGCAAATTGAAAAGCATTCCTAGCATTTCTCAACAAAGTCTCGGAGTATCCAGGATCCGATGACCGGAACGCCATCGAGGATGCTGCCAGCGCGGCTGCTGTCTCGCCAGCTACGTCTGATGCCGGGTTTGGTGCGTCCACGGCGTAGACAGTTCTCGCGGTGTCCATGTCCTCCGGCCTCTCCCAACAATTGTGATCGATAATTGGATCACCCACCTACAAAACATGACATTACAAATATATATACATATTAATTTAATATTGAAAAAACTTTAATACATCCATTATCAATGTCTTCTTGTACTACTTAGGTGAAGAGTTAAGGATAAGCATATCATAATCAAATGAATTAAGGAATATCCATTCACGTGCATCTATCTATCCAAGTAATGATGAAACTATATTAGTTATTAGACATATCCTATCAGTAGGGAACAATATACACACATGTATATATATATTTACAATTCACCCATTTTTTGAGGAGGAAGATGGACCACCAAAATCTAGTCCTATAACTTCAGGTTAAATCTTCCACACAATTTCGTACACATATATATATTGATAACCATTTTTAATTTTCAGTTACTTAATTAGGTTAGTAATAAATTTCCATTATTGTCATAGTTCGAGGACAGTTCTGGTACTCCATAATTTCACGGGTGCTCGTACAACTTTTATTTACAGAAAAAATTTATTATAATTCCAATTTGATTTTTCTATTTCGTTAATGAGATAATTATTACGTCATTAGGTTATTATTAAAAAAATCAAGAATTAATGTCTCAATAACCTTTTATATATATATTTTTTTAAAAAAAATATTTCTTAACAATTAAATTTTTTAATTAAAATAATTACAACATATTAAGAAAAACTTTTATAAATTTAAATTGACCACCCGTAATTACTTACGTTAATGCAGGATAAATGAAATTAAAAAGTTGTTTTATGAAAAAAAAAATAAATTTAAAAAATCGTGAAATTCACCTTCTCGTATCCCGAGAAGCTATAAAAAATGTAATATTTTTCTGACCTTTAGATTTCCAGTAGAAAACGAAGTGTTTGATAACTTCACAAAACGACACCGTTGAAGGCGACGAAGTCATCGGTCACAAACTTGTCCATTTGGTTAGTTCAACTAAATGCCACAATAAGAAAAAAAAAAACCTCGTCGTCATCGCCACCTTAAATCCTTAATTAAAACTCTGCTTAATAAATTTACCTGCACAAAAATACGATTCGGCTGCGAAACCGTCTTGAGCAGATAATCAGTCGACCAGCGAATCGCAACGAGCGCGTTTCTCAGTTCGGCCGGCGGCATGAGATCGCCGAACTCGATCACGCTCCAGGCCAGCATTGTAGTGGTGAAGGCCATAGGAAAGCCGAACTTCACGTTGTCACCAGCGTCGTAGTAGCCGCCGGTCAAATCGGTTTTGTAAGTCCAGCCGTCGCTCAGGCCGGAGTTGGCTCGCCACGAGAGCCGCTGATTCTGCGGCAGAAATCCGGAACGCTGTCCTTCGAAGAACAGAATCGATTTCGCCAGCGCGTCATTGTAATCGTGGCCGCTCGCTCGAACCGGAATCAAACCAGTCGAATCAACAAGCAACAAAATGGCGAGGCCGGAATTAATGAGAAGAAGGAGAGGAGGAGGGAGCTTCATTCCTTTGTTCGGCTCTATCTGGTTTGATGAGTTTTGGGAGTACGTTTGGGGCGGGGGGGGGGGGTTTTATAGTGTTGGCGGGTTATGGTTGGAAATGTGTGAGTGAGTGAGTGTCACGGGAGGAGAAAAGAAGAAGAAGAAGGAGAAGAGAGTGTGGCGAGTGCCGACAGAGGGGTGGAGTTGTGTGGTGTGTCAGTTAACTCACGTGTATTATTCACGAATGTGAGTGAACAATACAAAAGGTAAATAACAGAGAAGAGAGAGAGAAAATTATTTTCGGAAATTCGATATTTTTTATTTATTACTTGAAATTTATGAAATTAATTTATGTATTTTTTTATACAATTATATAATTTGTATGTATTGTTATGCCATGATCATGGTAATTATTTTATGAAACTTAAATTTACAGTAAGTTGTGCATAAAAAAAAAAACAAAATTATAACATCATGATTCGTATGAGAGTACATTTATTATAAGACAATAATTTCTTTATAAAAATATAAATTTATTTTCCAAAATTTACCATTTTTTTCCTAAAATTCTTTAAGTTATAATTTAATTTTTAAAATTCTATATTTATTTAAAAAATTTATGAACCATATTATAACAAGTGTTAAATTTAATGAATTAATTTAGTAATTTAACCCTCTTTTATTAACTTATATAGATATACATTAACCAAGTTATTAATGCAAAATAATATATGATGTCGTAATTAACCATCTACTTAATTATACATCAAGTCAAGGTTATTACTTAAAAGTTATTGTTATGAAGCCTTAAGCCACAAAAACGTGTTATGAGCTTGATTTATTTCCTTTCGGAGTTTGATGGCTGGAAAAAAAATTATGGAATTAAATATTTTTTGTTTCCTATATATCAATGTTTTAATTTTATATATTTAAGTTTGATTATATTTTAATAAAAAAATATTTATATTATATTATATTACCCCATCTTATTTAGGGTATCTAAAATGTTCGACGTGGCTAAAATTTCCAAACACATGTAGATCATTAATAAAATATTATATAATAATACATATACATTATACATAATAAAAATATTTATTATTTAGCATTCTATTATTCTATACACATGTTTACTTGGACAAATATTTATCAATATGAATCATACTCTTATCATTACAAATAATAACTATATTATATTAAATATACTAATTATTTTTTGATAAAAATTATACACATCATTTAACAATAATCATGATATAATTTGTTAAATATAAATTTATCAAAATATGCCTAATTTTAATAATTATCAATATGTTTGGTTAAAATGGGAATTAAATATATATTTTATTTAAATTTGGAAATAACAAGTGGCTGTTGCTAGATGACTTAATTCGTTGAAATTAAATGTTTTATATGTGGATTAAAATAATTGATTTGGTGAAATTATAAACTTTTGCCTCTACCTAACTAATTAATATTTGCCTAATTATTCTATTATTATTGACACATTTTGGTAGGGGAATTAAAATATTTTTTTTTTTAAATATAAGTTTCTCATTTTGTGTCATATTAACATTTGCTTTTATGTAATTTGGTATAAAGTGTAACTTGGAGATATTTATTGTAGATATTAGTTTGTGTATTCCCCAAATGAAATTATATTTTATTTAATTAATAATTGTCATAAAAAATATATATTTATATATATGTTGTATCATAATTGGATTGTTGGTCGTTATTTTTATTTTAATTAATTATAATTAATTTGGACCAAATTCAACTTTGAGATATTTGATAAAAATTTAGTAATAAGAGAATGTTTCTCAATAATAACATATTTATACAAATTGAATTATGCAAGTGTATATTTAAGATTATAAAGGAGGTGATATAGTAAGTTTCTTTTTTTTATATGTGAAATTACGAACATTTGCCTTTATAACATATTAAAATTGGCCTAATCCCGTCATTATTTATATCTTGTGGTATAAAATGATATAGATTTTTATTTTAACTACATGAGTTAAAATGTTTTAAAAAATATCATAATATATGTCATATTTTAGTTATCCATACAATAATTTTGACTCAGCATATGAAAA